TCCTGCTGGACTCAGTGATAAGTGTCCTCTCTTTTGCCTAGCTTTTAGCATCTATATGTTATGTAACATTTTTTTTTGCCTCCGTTTCTGTGTCAGTAAAATGGATAATTAGAAAACTTGTCTTAGAAGGTTTGAGAGAGAACTGAAACCGATGATCCAGGTAAAGAACTTAGAACAGTGTCTAGCCATAGAAGCATTTAGTAAATGAATGAAAAAAAGAAAAGAATTGAAAAGAATAAAATTGGTTGAGAGAAGTAGGGAAAAAGTAAATCCTAAGTGCTGGGTTATTCCTATTCCCTTCCTGATACCTTCCCAGTTTAGAATTGCTAGTCTTTTTCATACATACTGGATACTTTGCATATTTAAGTTCATATTTCATTAACTATTTTTATTTTTACCCTGTTATACAACCTATCCTCTCCCCCCAAAAAGAAAAAAGAAAAAAAAATCCTTGGCGTTTTTTATTTCTACCTTCAGGGGTTAAGCTTTTAGACAACTAACATACCAGATAACTTTAAGAGGTGAATGAAAGTACCCCATGAGTTAATGTCTTTTTCATATTTAACTAATGACTATGTTAGAGGCCATTCATCCATGGTAGTCAGAGCCCATTCCTTGTCTTTGGTTGTAAGAGTTGCTTCCTTGGATATCTGATTCCTTTGCTCAGACTCGTCACCATTTCTGTCTGTTGTGGGCTGAACCAACTGCAGAGATGTATTCACAGATCTGTATTGCTCATTAACTCAGGTTTGTCTGTCCTCCCTTTCATGGCCTTATTTAGAGCCCTCTGGAACTAGCTCCTTGGGGTTTTCAGAAGATGAATAACTTCTTTCCTCTTTGACTTCCTTGTATCCTTTTCAAGTGCTTCTGCCTTGCCAAATGACATTGGTCACTACCTTAGTCCCAGGGTCTCTAATCTATAAAGCGCTTCTGAAAGAAGAGCAATGTGTGGAGGCAGTCTCAGAGATGCATGCTGTAGCAAAAGGAGTGCAGACCAGCCTTCGACAGGGCACAACCACACCTGACATTCCTGCCTGTTGCATTCACCTATTTAAAAGGCTGACCTGCTCTAATTCCCTTTCTTCAACAGCAAGTAAGACCTTTATTTTACAAGATGAGCTTCAATTGGTGATGTGGGTTCTTCTGAATTCCTCCAAATCTAGATCATGAGCAAGCAAATATTGGATTCTCTTTTTTTCTTTTTCTTTTCTTTATTTTGTCGGTCATGGGTCTTGAACTCTGGGCCTGGGCACTGTACCTGAGTTCTTCAGTTCAAGGCTAGTGCTCTAGCCTTGAGCTACAGCGCCACTTCCAGTTTTCTAGTGGTTTATTGGAGATAAGAGTTTCACGAACTTTCCTGCCAAACTGGCTTTGAACCGCCATCCTCAGATCTCAGCCTCCTGAGTAGCTAGGATTACAGACATGAGCCACTAGCACCCACCCCTTTTTTTTCTTTGAGTTTTTATTTAAAATGATATTCTCTTTTCAAAGGCTGTAATTCTGACTAGTGTATCAATGGTTTCTTAGCTAAGAATATAGACAAAGGTCAAGGCCTTGCTTAATTGCACACTTTGGGCATGCCTAACTCTCAGTGTGCTGGAAAGAGTCACTGGTGCAAACTAAATGGTAATCTGTCTCAAAATGTTTACATTTGACCCATCTGAATACACGGGGGGGCTAGGGGGGGAAGGAGGTGAAAATCTAAAGAAATTATTGAATTGTTTTCTTTGTCTTTTCAAAGAAGGGAGGGTGGAGAGAGAGGGAGGGAGAGAGAGAAAAAGGAGAAAGAGAGAGAGGGAAAGAAAGAGAAAAGGGGGAAAGAGAGAGAAACAACCTGGGAAAGAAAAAGTAAAAGATGGGGTCCAGAGGGGCAGCTTGGGCCTTGGAGGAAAATAGAATCTTTAAATGTATTCTTGCCAGAGACAAAAGCACAGGCTCATTTAAAAAACAAAGGAGGAGGGCAGCTTTATTCTAAAGCCTGCTGTGCACCAAAAATAGGCTCTTAGATTCAGTTCTCCACATAGATTCAGTACTCCTCAATCGGAGGAAGCAACTTAATCATGGTGGAAACAATTCCTGAATGCATTTGCTTCACTTTCTCCTGCCCACCTTAACTGTCACCCTCCCAGATAATTCCTCCGAGTAACACATTGGGAACCTTTCGCTCCCTGGTACTGGCAGTTTTAATGTGTCCATTGCCAGCAATGAATTTTGTGCCAAGAAAACCCGACTCCTGGCGTGGAAGGATTAAACAGTCCTCGGGTGCCATCTGTGCAGCGAAGTGAAAGAGTGACTTTGTGCACCCAGTGTGCGCATGTTGCCATTGGCAGTAGGAAGTGACTTCTATTTACATGACTACCTCATGCCGGGAACACCTAAGGGGAGAGATGAAAATGGCCACCACCATGGGGGGGGGGGGGATGAGTGGGGGGTTGGTGTGAGAAAGAGCCTATGGAAAAGATTGGAAAAGATACAGATTGAAATGTAAATTAAAGGTTGATGATCCTCTATACATACATCAGGAGGGGTGGTTAAGAAGAAATCAGGCAGGTGTGGTAGATTTTCTCAGATGTCAGACTTTGAACTTGTGCCTTTGCTTCAGGGTTGAAATGTCACTTCAGATTGGAATTGAAAAAAAAATACGTTTTTCCACTTATCTCTCCCATTTTCACAGTCAAGGGTAGGCTTGTGTGAAGTATTATTTGAATATTTTGGGGGCTTTGGGCACTACTAGGGAAGCCCTCTGAAATCAAATTTACGTATTCAGATGGGATCACTGAAAAGAAAATTCAAGCTGTAAACTGAGAGAAATGATGAAGTACAATTTGTGTCAGTGTTTCCCTTCAAAAAGTTTTCAGTGAGAGAACTTGCTGAATTCAGGGCCTCACTCACATTTCTTGATCTACCAGTTGAGTCATGCTCCACTCCAGCATTCTGCTGATTAAATCGCTGGCTTTTCTGCCAGGGCTTGCTTTGAACTGTGATCTTTCAGGTCTCATCCTCCTGACTTGTCAGGAGTACTGGCCAAGGAAGGTTTTAAAACAGATTTATACTTGGTACTGTGCAACCAAAGATTATAATGTTGAAGAAAACCTTGATGAGCAATGATGCTGCAGATGAGAAAAATCCAGCACAAAGTTGTTCTTTAAGACAGAATAAGGCGAGGATTAAAGGTATTCAAGGAAAATACCATGGGATAGCAAAAGGCTACTCCAGTGGGAAGGCAGTCCTTGACAGATGGAAATGGAGAGCAAATAACAGTGAAGGCATTAGGCAAGAGAGGGAAAGATCACAAAATGGAAGGGCACAGGAGCATTCAGAGAACAGTAAGCCTGCCATATAAGAGCACTATAAGAAAGAAGCTCTAAACTGAGAACAGTTCAATAGTAAATACTGGGACAAAGGGCCACCAAATGCAGCAGTGATACTCACTAGACACTATGTTAAAAATAAATTATCTAACTTGTGGGTGGGGACAGGAGGGAAAAACTGGGAGAAAGTGAGGGAAGGGGTGACATTTTTCAAAAAGAAGTGTACTCTTTCTCTGATGTCTTTAACTGTAACTCCTCTGTACATCACCTTACCATAACAATAATTTTTTTTTAAAATAGTGAATACTGGATTTAGTTGAGTACAAAGGGGTAGGGTTGAACTCCTGGTTCTAGGTGGGACAGACTGGAATGAAGAAAACCAAATTAAAGACAGACAAACTAGTCTGATGTTTTAAATAGAGCTAGGTCATGCAACAGCAATGATGCAGTTATGAAGGGAGAGCACTGGGTATGAAGCATTCTAAAGGACTATTGACAGAATGAGGACAACCTGGTTGTGGGAATCCTTTGTAGGGGAAAGGAGATTTGTTTATCATCTCCTTTTGCAGTTTATTATTTTTTTCAACCTGACTGGGAAAATACATGCAGGTACTACCACAAACACATTTCCTTCACACGGATTTGATAATGAAGTTGAAAATAATAGCTAAAACTAAATCATCTGTGTGTATATCTTGCAAAACCGGAAACTTTCAGTTTATTATTTTGATCAGAAGGTTTCATGTTGACATCTTAAAAAAAAGGCATGACTATTGATCCTCAGAGCTAAGAATTAATATGAAGCCTATGTATTGAGAGTTAAAAAACAGATGAGGAATAATTAGAGTCTTGTATTAATATTGTCCTGGGAGAGTTTTAAACATCTTTTGGACAATGAAACTTCAGTGGTGATTTACGTGGTTATCCAAAAATTGTAATTTAGGATTATTTTTCCAGCTATCAAGACAAATATAATTATGAAAACTTTGGAAATGTCAAAATGCTTGGAGGATCTTTAATGTTTACACCACCACATCCACTTGCACCAGTGTGGTACTGAAGGGTATACTGGCTTTGCCATGCTGTCCACCCTAGTGACAAATGATAGTAAAGCTGCAACCAGCACATTTTTCCAGTGCTAAGGCTCATCTTCAGAGCACCCTGCCCGTTGGTTCTGAGAGCCAGATGACTGGATGCTATGTAGATCAGGGGTTTCAGGGTACTTCCCAACTGTATGTGACTCTCACTTGCTTTACTTGAGTCTGTGTTTTTTTAAAAAAAGAATAAAAACAAAAACCTGCTTGGTTGGCTATACAACTTAGTTATGGCAATATCCTAAGAAATTTAAGGTACGTCTGAAGGTGTAGCGTTTTCTGAGTTCGAGGGAAATATGTTGAATTTGACATGTTTTCTAAACTGAAATTTGTATAATTAAAGTAATTATCTGGTGTTGCTTTGTATTTCCAAATGAATGCATATTGTGACCTATATAGCATACGATAAAGACTGTAATTATGCAGAATATAGTAGGGGAAGCTATTGGAGTATCTCTAAACCACCTGTGTTATTTCTTTTGAACATGAATTTTGTTGGAAATAAAAAAATATATTTTCTAAAATAGATACACTTAAAGAGTTCTTCACTATTTGTAACTGGGTTATAGAGTGGACATAGCTCATCATCTCTTACCTTGTAGTTGCCAAGGTTATCTTCTGGAGTTGGGAGGCCCATGTAACGTTCTGTGTACACTGAGTCTGTAATGGGGTGGGGGGGACAAGAATAGATTCATTCTTAAGACAACAGCTTTCTTCTATTTATTGAGTTACTTTACAAATTTTCCTGTGTCTTAACTTAGGCATTACCCTCATTAATGTCTCCTCCAGCTTCTGTTTATTGATATAGTCAGAGGTATTGATGCCCTGACTGCTCACTCAGACTCAAATCTTTTCGTCCTGAGCAGGAATACATTCACACTTAACCCCTTTGATGGAGACAGAAGGAAATCAAACTAGATGTTCTAAAGCACACTAAAAAAAATTCACCTGTAAAAAAGTCAAATGTGAAGTATGAACCATACAAAGAAAATAAAGCTCTTCAAATTGCCTTGAATTTCTTGATTCTGAGAAAAATGCATGCCCTAAGTTTGGATAATATATTGTTTTTTTGAAACCCCTAGCAATGATCAACTACTAGTTGTTAAACTTTTTTATTTTAGTTTTTGGCATGTTGGGATTCACTATATTGAAAAGAAAGCTTTCAGTAATCAGTTCTGTATTGGCTCAGCTACTCCACCCTAATGCAACTTAAATGTTTGTTTTCCATCTTTTAATTTTTTTGTGCCAGTCCTAGGGATTGAACTCAGGGCCTGGGCACTGTCTCTGAGCTTCTTTTGCTCAAGGCTAGCACTCTACCACTTGAACCACAGTGCTACTTCCAGCTTTTTCTGTTTATGTGGAAGAATCAAACCCAGGGCTTCATGTATATTACCACTAAGCCACATTCACAGCCTTCATTTTATGGAGAACTCTTAATTTTTGTGCTATAACATTTAAGCATCGTAAAACAGGTTACATTAATATGTCTGTGGAAATGACATAAACTCTTTTAGCTATAAATATATTGGAATAACATGTTACATAATGGGTTTGGTTATTTTGGATAATTAAACATATTTTGCCCAATTCAAAATGAAATCACAAAGTATCTATATATCGTCTCTAAAATCTCAGTTAAGAAATGTATTGTGGGTAAATTCTATGTAACTTTAGAAATCTGACATTCAAATTAAGAAATCTGATTGTTTTGGAAGCTGCATCCATAAGTCATCAGAATACAATAAGTAAGAATGATATATTCTCATTGTGATTTAAAGGCTAATGCCTTGAATACTGAATGCACAATTATTTCAGTATTAATTCTGTTCATTTGTTAAATGAATATCTACTCTAAATTCAACACCTTAACACTTTTGAATGACTGGTAACAGATTACAGACTACACTGACAAGTATTCTAACACTTAATGAGTGCCTGTGATATTTTATTACTTTGATTAAAATGAATAGACTATACTTTTATATATCTGAAGGGCACTCAGATGTTTTAAGAGTATTTTTAAATCTTCATAAAATGTTCGTGTCTTTTAAAAACTTTACCAGTTTAAGATAATAATTTCAGTTCTACATTGTTGGGTAAAAATAACCTTTCAGGGCAAAATAAAAACTTCCCAAACACCTACAGCCCTTAGTTCTACCTATTTCTTATGTAGACTCTTGTTTATATCAGGTTTATGTGTATAAGAAGATCTGAAAGTTTAAAAATAATATTTAAAATGTTATGTGTAAATGCATGATGCAGTTGTTGTGAACTTTTAGAAATAAGCCTTGAAATACCACTCATAAATTCCTTTTATCCAATCTGAATAAAAATGTCCAAATTTACACACAGATTAAAAGTCTGTTCCTATATATTAGGCAGGGTTGAATCGATTTACTATGCTTTTCTCATTATGTGTGTTTTACTTACAGATCGTTTCTATTATTTTATTGACCACCAGAGGTCTCCAAAAATAAGCCATCTAGCTGAACAATTAATAATCAAGCAGAAAAGTATTAGATGCAAATTAAATTCCAGTGTGTGCTGATCAAGTGGGCCACAGGAAGAAGTAGCAATGTGTTCTGTACACTAAGGACGCCTAAGAGAGGGCCTTCCAAAAGACAGGAAGGACTATATATCAGAATACAAAACTGCATGCGTTCTCTAGCAAGCATCCTATTCTTACACTATGTGAAGGACATCAGATGGGATCAGAGGAGGTACAAGAGAATTCTCTATCTCCTCCGCACCTCTGACCATGCCTTCTTATGCAGTCTTCCACTGGGCATTGCAGTTTTCCAGGTTATGATGCCTTATAATATTCTCTTGATGAGGATGAATCATTTTAGCTACTAAGAAACAGTGAGCACCCCTGCCCTCCGCCGCCAAATTCATCTGTCTTTACTCTTCTTTTCCTCCCAAATCCCAAGTTCTATTTGAGACAGGGAGAAAAGGTTCATATTTCTACAAACAGGTGAAACTCCCCAAACCAAATGTGAATAAAGGCACGGAAGGGTTTATTTGAGCAATTTAGCATTGAAGCTCTTTCAAAATTTAGAAATCAGATTGTGTTTAGATAATAACTATTATCACCCAGTCTTACACAACAAGCAGAATAAATGATATCATCATATCAGTATCCACAAAGACTCTAAGAAGAACCAACCTATTTGCTGTAGAAACACAGGAAGTCAAAAAGGAATGGCTTTCTTTACTGAAATTTTAAGGTCAACATGGTGTCCCTCTTTGACAGCAATTACATACCATAATACTCCCACCGGGACACAGGCGCCACTGCGATTCCACACTTGAACACACCGCTCCCCGATCCCAGGACCATTGAGGTTACGTACCCTCCATATGACTAAGGAACGGAAACAGTTATTTTTATGGAGGTAAAGGAATAAGGACATATGGTAAGCGAGTCGCAGTTTCTACATTTCTCACATCTTTATATACTGTGCCTCTTTAGAGATAGAAAGCATGGTATAGGAGGCTTAAATTGGCCTTAATTGGGCAGTATCTAAAGATTACAGTTTCAGAGGCCTGGCTCCTTCTCTTGTAGATAGAAAGAGAAATGCGTGGAACTTTTGCTGACCCCACTGACTGCATAGTGCACTAATCAATGAAGAATAGTAAGTAAAATCAATAAACACAAAGCTTTACTGACTCATGAGATGTCTCCCTTCCTCCCCTTTTATCTCTCTCCCTCTCCTCCCCTCTCTTTTCTTAGAGAGCTCTCTCTCTCTCTTAAACTTTCTCTTTTCTTTCTCTTCTTCCCTCCCTTCCTCATTGTGATGAACAAAGATTTAGGTCTGCCTTAGTGGAGATTCTAGCATGTTATTGCCCAGAGGTCCAAAACTTGATAAACATTATTTTCATCTCTAAATATTTGTATCCCAAAGATAAATTAGCCTGCTCGGAGTTTTATTCACTAAGCAATGCATACAGATTCATTAGTTAAGCAACTACTCACCCAGCCCCAAATTGCAATTCGCTGGCTGTCCACAAATCCCATTTTTGAAAATTGTCTAAAATACAGGGAAGAAGTCCACAAATCAGTTTGGGACTGTGTATAGAAAATAAAGATAACTGCACAAATGTGCACAAATGTGAAACGTTGACATTTGTTGTCTCTTTCATTCTATTTCAAACTAGGATGAATCACTGCCAGCAATAGAAACACCTGAGAAAACTGTCTACATGAGATAAATGTCTATTATCCTAACCTGACATCTAGATGAACAAGGATTGCTTTTGTTGGAGTCCATAAAACCTCGTGTGTGTGTGTGTGTGTGTGTGTGTGTGTGTGTGTGTGTGATTCACAGAAAACAAATCCTGGCAGTTTTTTTCACAGCTTTATATAAAAATTTGCAGCCCAGATGCACTTTTCTTTACATAATTGAATTTAAATCTCTCCAGATGTTTTTTAAGTTTGAGAGCTGTCGCCCCTGCAATGGAGAAAGATAAGGGCATAGAGAACATCTGGGCAGGGCTTAAAAATGTCTCTAGGCCCCCTACCTGAGAGTTTAAACATCATTGTCTAAATAAATCCCTTCCTATGATAGGTGTTGATTAGTTAGCTCATCACCATTAAATAGAAAGCACAATTTTAGACGGATTAAGAAATTTGGGGTTGTTTCCCCTCCCCTCCCCCCCAGTAAATTATGTTCAGGATTAGAATCTAGGTAAAGAGATTTGAGGGATCTCTTTGTTACTCTTAGCCTTACCTTGAGAGTAATTTTTGACTAAAAAAAAAATCTAGGAAAGGGCTAGGGTCAGGCCTATTGGCTAGCCTAGCCTAGTGGTTCATGCCTACCTAGCTATTCAGGAGGCTGAGATCTGAGGATAACAGTTCTAAGCAAGAAGTCCAGGCAAGTGCTTGAGACTCTTATTTTTTTGGGGGGGGAGGGGGTGGGTCCGGTCATGGGGCCTGAACTCTGGGCCTGGGCTCTGTCCCTCAGCTCTTCAGCTCAAGGCTAGTGCTCTACCACTTGAGCCACAGTGCCACTTCCAGCTTTTTTCTTTTTGCTTATGCGGTGCTGAGGAATCGAACCCAGGGCCTCAGGCATGCAAGGCCAGCACTCTACTACTGAGCCACCTTCCCAGCCCTTGAGACTCTTATCTTAATTTATGCACCAAAAAGCAGAAGCAGAAGTGTGGCTCAAGTGGTACAGCACAAGCCTTGAGAGAAAAAGTTAAGGGATGATGCCTTAATTTAACCCACAGTACACCCTCTCTCTTTCTCTCTCTCTCTCTCTGACACACACACACACACACACACACACACAAACACACTCACACACACACAGACACACCTCCCAAATTAGCAAGTGTAATATTAATTTTGTAGCATGATGGGAGGTTTGGGGCCTTCACAATGACATATCTGAAAGCTTTTGTGTTTTCACTTGATGATGCAAGGCTGATGATGTGCAAGGCTGCCTAGGTAAGTGGCATTAGAGAAAATCCAGAATAGTTTTGTTTTTTTTTTCACTTGGCTTCTCTACACTTCTCTAAACCTGAACAATATTTAGGAATATGCGCTGAAGCATGAGTGTACGTTTTGGCAAATATTTTCAGGGTAAATATAATAGTTGAAACCATGACTTTGAACACTCTTACAGTCTTCCGGACCATCTTCCTGTTTGTGAGAATACAAGAATAAAATGTTCTTCCATTGGATTCCATGCAAAGTTCACCTGAGTTTGTACCTTGTTTGAAGTTCTATATAAGCTAGATCATGTACACTTTTCAAAATGTCGAATGAGACATTTTCATTCTTTCAAGTTACTAAAATAGTGTTTCATTGTGTAAATATACTCAGTCTCATTATTATTATTATTGTCCTGGGATTTGAACTCAGGATGTTGTGCTTATAGACAACTGCTCTATTGTTGAACCATGCCTCACATATCTGTAATGTACAAAGAAGTTACAGTTATATAAGCTATGTAAGTCAGGTAAAGAGTACATTTCTGTAGTGTCACCCCTACTCTGCATTTTCTAAAAATCTATTATCAAAATATCAAAGTCTGGTTCTTAAGCAAATTTACACTCTCTCTAATTGAAATCTTTTTTTAATTTCATGGAAAAGTTATTAATTTTAGTATAAGGAAATTTCATCCACTCAGGAACATCAAAAATTGTCCATCATCTTCCTTTATATTCTTTGGTTGTCTCTTTTCCTAAAGGCAATTTAATCATTCATGGATCTTTCTCCATTCACTAGTCTATGATTTCACAACAGTGTCTCAAATCACCTCATTTATTAGTCTTCCCTAGACATTCAAAGATTATATTTCTGATTTACCAGTTGAATGCTGTTGAACAGAAGAATTGGAATAAGAATGGATCCTAATCCTGACTCACCTTGACAAGTTACCCAAGAGTTTCTATTTCTTTACCTGAATATAAAATCACCCACCACCCACAGTTTCTATATGGTTTCAGTGGCAAATACAGGTAAAGTGCTTCACAGGTTACACACATATACTACACTTCTCCTTTCTTTTAAACCAGAGCAGTCACATGCCATACGGAAGGGCAGAAGAATGGGATGCTTATACAATAAATGAAGCCCTTATAAATTTGGCCCATAATAAGTGTACTCCATGGTTTTCCAAAAATAGGGAAAATAAGGACTGCTCCCAGATCTTATAGTTGTGACCTTCTACAACATAATTATGCACTGAATCCCTCTATTCTGCCTTAATTGTAAGGGATGAACTCAAATGTTTAGTCAGATGTGTATTCAGTGTGATGGATGATTTTGATTGTTAACCGAATTAGAGAATCCTATAGAAGATTGGTAAAGCACACCTCTGGGAATGCTCATGAGGACATTTCCAGAGATGATTAATTTAGGATGAAAGACCATCCCATAGACTAAGGCTAAAATAAGTAAAAAGAAATGAAAGTAGAAAAAGAAAATAAGATAAAAGAAAAAAATTCCTCAGTACAGGTGTTTGTTTCCTCCATTTTCTGTCTGCTATAAGATGAGTAGCCTCTGCCATATTCTCATGTCACCATAATGGTCTGCCTCACTATGCATAGGCCCAATGACTATGGACTGAAATTTGGGAAACTATGAGGCAAAGTAAGTAATTCTCCCCTTAAATTGTTTATGTTAAGCACTTTGTCACAGCAGTGCAAGTTTGACAAACATAGTAAATTGATATCAAGAACTGAAGTTATCATTGTGATTTCCTGACTGTGTCTTCCTGAAACCTTTGGAAGTGAAGTGTGAGAAACTGGGAAAAGATTGTAGAAGCAGGCTAGAAAAACCTAGAGTGCCATAAAGAGAGCTCAGTGGGCAACTCTTGTGGAAGCACAGCAGATCAGAATGCTGAATGAAATGTGTGTAAGATTGAGCTCAGGAGGTTTCAAATGAGAACAAGGACTATATTGGGAATCAGACTAGATAACATTTGTGTTATGTTGTGGTGAAGAATATGTCTACATTTTGTCCGTGTTCTAAGACTTTGTAGCAGAGTTAGTTAAATGGTGATGGAGGAAATTTCAAGGCAGCCCAGAATTTTGACTGTAATATAGTTATGGTTGTCTGCTTTTAGTGAAGTTTGCAGGAAGGACTGAGAGCTCAAAGCAGAGCAAATAGAGTTTTAAAACCTGTAGATTCAACAGAGCCAAGGATTATGAACTGAAACTTCTGAAACTGTGTGTCAAAATAAAAGCTTTCTTCAGTTACATGTGAAAAGAAACATAAAATGATTTTTTTCAAATTTTATACAAATCTATAATGACATATATTTTTATTTAAATATAATATCTCCACTAAAAAAAAACTACTACAAGGATGAAAGATTGCAGGCTCATTCCAGCATCCTTTATGATCTTGACATTTTATAACGGTAAAAGATAAATTAAGGGGAAGAAAAGTTAGATGACCTTTGGGGTCATCTCCTAGGCACTCACCTGGCTGCTTCAATTTGATCTTCAATTTCAAATGTTCCCAGTCTTCTGTAGATTGCATGCATGATTTTATCTCCTTGGTAGCCACTTCCTCTGCCATCAAAGCTAGCTACTATGATATTTTCTGTACTTGCAAGGTAGGTGGCCCAGTTCAATCTGAAGATAGTATCTGCTTTTTGACTACAGGGGCCTGCATAGCTGTGAAAATTCCAAGTCATTATCTGTCACAGTTTTTCTGAATCTAATGAAAAGTACTGCATTTATCTTTCCTGTGCACAAGATGCGTGCATCTTTCCTTCTTTCCATCATGATTCTGACTCTGAAATCATGCCAGCAAGTAGGTTATCTAGAAGTGAATTTTTAAAATTTGGCAACAAGGATGTAGTTAATGTTTATTTCCTTCAAAGATGTCCAACAGTTTAAGCTTTGGAGAGAATTATACTACTTCCCTCCCTCGTTCCTTCCTTTCCTTCCTTTCTTTTCCTTTCCTTTCCTTTCCTTCCTTCCTTCCTTCCTTCCTTCTTTCCTTCCTTCCTTCCTTCCTTCCTTCCTTCCTTCCTTCCTCCCTCCCTCCCTCCCTCCCTCCCTCCCTCCCTCCCTCCCTCCCTCCCTTCTTCTTCTTTCTTTCTTTCTTTCTTTCTTTCTTTCTTTCTTTCTTTCTTTCTTTCTTTCTTTCTTTCTTTCTTTCTTTCTTTCTTTCTTTTTCTTTCTTTCTTTCTTTCTTTCTTTCTCCTTTTAATCTTTCTTTTTCTTTCATTTTTTGTGCCAGCCCTCAGGTTAAAACTCAGACTTTGGGTGCTGTCCCTGAGCTTCTTTTATTCAAGGCTATAGCTCTACCACTTGAGCCACACCTCCACTTTTGTCTTTTTTTGGTAGTTAATTGGAGATAAGTATCTCACAAGCTTTCCTGCCTTGGCTGGCTTCAAAGCACAATTCTTAGATCTCAGCCTTCTGAGAAACTAGGATTACAGAAAAAAAGCCACCCATGTCCAACTAAAAGAGTTCATTGTAAAAGTGATGCACAATCTTGTTAAACAATTTCTGTAATAGTGGGGATAGAAATGTGTTATAAAAAATTGCTGATGGCAATTAAGGAAGTATTAACTATCTTTCCATCTCAGATTAAAAATACTCCATCTACAAGTTTGAATTATTAAATCAAGACTTTCTTAAGATCTTTACTGTTGCTTCATCTTATGATTTGCATTTCCCTAAATAGTCATTATAAGGTTGCTCACACTAAGACTCTATAAATCACAGATGAATGAATCATGATAAGAATGAATACTAAGTATATAAAAGCTGAGAGAAAGCCAGGTACCAATGGCTCACATCAGTCATCCTAGCTACTCAGGAGGTTGAGACCTGAGGATTGCAGTTCAAAGCCAGCCTGCTCAGGAAAGTCCATGAGACTCATGTCTCCAATTAACGACACACACACACACACACACACACACACACACACACACACACACACACACAGAGCTGCATGTGTGGATGTGCGATGTCATACACCTGTATTCTCAGCTGAAGTGGAAGGATTGTCAATTTGAAATAAACCTAGGTTTTACAGTAAGACCCTATCTCAAAAAGAAAAAAAAAATCCTCAAAAGAACTATAACCTTATCACCTTGTATTGGAGAACAGGCTTGTTCAGCATTCTACTCACTAACAATTAACTCCTTGTTAAAATTTTAACTCCCTGTGTTTGCAGCTCTATAACCTATCCCACACATAGCTGTATGAAGAACCTTTCTGAGCCTGCTCTGAGTCTGTTGAAGATAGGTCCCTATTGCATTATTTATTATTTAAGTACATCACCTTTGCATGAGCTACACGATTCCTGGACACATCTTCTTTAGTACCTACTCCCTTCACTGGCCCATCTCCCTCGCTCATCTGCTTACCTTCCCAATACAGGGACAAACAACTCATGCTAACATACCTTTGCTAACCTTTTCCCTCTCTTTTTAGGAATGGCATTCATAAGAACTTACACACATATTGTAGTATTTTTATTTTAAAACTAAATTACCATTTTAATTTTAAACAAAGGAATATATTTATATATTTTCAGGTCAGCAAACATTCTTTAATAATCTGAAATATGTCAGCTCTGTCAATGATAATAAATTTGGTAGATTAAGGGCTTGTCTTAATGTCAGATATGTATCAAGTTACTCATTCCCAAGATTAAGCAATCTCATTTTTTAAAAAATTGAAAACAGAGACTTGGAGCGCAAAAGAGGAGGAAAATAACTGAAGAGAAATGGGCGTGGATCCTACTTTTCACTTTTCTTTTTTAATTTCCCTATTACAGGGGAGTCAAAAAACATAAAAAAAGGTCATCTTTTCTGAAGGTTGTTTTTAATATTGGAGATAAAGCCCAAAACCAATTAGCATCACTAAAGAATTTGACTTCAATAAGTAAAAATTAGACTCAACAAAATCAAATGGCTTATCTGGAAGTTTGAAACACTAGTCTTTCCTTTTCTTTGTGTTTCTATGTTTAGGCTTTATGGGGCTGACCAGCATAGGGAACAAAGTTAGGTCTAATTCTACTATCTGCAACATTGTTTCTCCAAGACACAAAGAAAAATGAGATCTCTGACTTTCAGTTTCTCCTTTAAATGATCAGCCAAAGAACTCACTACATTACTTTGTTGTCTGAATAAAATAAGGCAAATTAAGCATGGAATTCATGGCAGCTAGCCAGCACATTTATTGCCTTGTTTTGTTTTTAATAAAGGAAATGATGTGTATAATGGCAGGAAGAGTGTGGAAGCATGGGTGAGATCAGGACAATTTTAGAAGGTGAAGTTAATTATATTTTTCATAATTAAAAATGTATTTTACTCTGCCATATTCTGAATTCATAGAAGTTGAATTCTCATTTACTCTCCAAATGCTTGTGATTTTAGAACTTTCTCTAAGACCTGAAGTTTAGATTATAATAAACACACTCATATATCATGTCTCCTCTTCACCAAAAAGGGAAATGGAAAATACCAGACAGATACTGGATGAACTACAAGAGAAATCTGAGGTCCTAATGAATCAGAAGAAACACATGGGAGATGTGTGGGCAAATTTTGGAGCTAGAGGATTGTGGGGACTGTTAATGCCCATCCCTTATTTGCTGAAATTTCCAGGAGGTAAGGATGAAATGGGGCTTGAGAATGCCTGTGAAATTCCCTTGGATTTGGGAATGTAAAGCAAAAGAAAAGCCATACGATTAAGACAGAAGAGAAGTAATCTATCTTGTCTATTAGGAAGACGAGAGAAAACACAGGGTTTTTTTTTAGTTCAAAATGGAGAAAGGGAAATAGTAATCGGTGATTCTGGAAGAGGGAGAGGATGCTTTGGGATTTATTTTTCACTAACATGTATTGGAAAAAATATGATGGTTAGCTGTTAAATTGCTCCCCTTTTAAATACTTACACTTCTAATAGCAGAGGATATTTCTTGGATTTATCAAAATGTGGAGGCAAGATCATTTGATACCAAAATTCTAAACAAACAGAAAGAAAAATTAGTGATTTAAGACAAATTCTATAAGATCTCATCTCTTATTTCTGTAAGTGATGGCATATTTAGCATTTTGTTAAACTGGAATAGTAAAAGAAAAGGAACTGTTTGGATTCAGTACATTTTTAAGATCTGAAAGTACTATGCTCAATTAAAATACCAGTTAATATTTAAGCAATAAAGTTGTTTGCAATGCATCCATCAAATGCATTGGTGCCTTGTGAAATAAAAGTGCATCTTAGAATTTCTAATGTTTTGTTTTTATGATTCTGTTCTTTGGCATCTGATCTACTTATCTCGTTTGTTTATGGCTTATGTTCTAAGTTTTCCTCCCAAATGTTTTCCTCTACTTGAATTTCTTTGAAGCTGCTTACAATGTGTAGTTGGCCTTCACTATATTTTATAATACTGATTTAATAACATTTTTATAATTCCTACTGCCATCCCAGACCACGAGGCTGGGTTCCCACTTTCAGCTTTGATTTACAGGCTGACTCCGGCTGCTCTGAAGCGGATTGTTCTATACATCTCCTGTGATCTGTTCTGTTTTAGCTCCTGTGCTTGATATAACATTGGTTTAATAAAATCTGTCCCTAAATTGCAAAGCAGTTTCTTTTACTCTCAAAGATGAGTAAGACTTAAAAAAAGAGTTTGAGCAGATTTTAATATTTCAAGCTTTAGTAGATTTAAACTGTAAATATTTTTTCTACATTTTCTTATCTCTAGAGATTACTTCTTGCATTCACCATTTTTTAAAAAAATGATCTTACAATTATTTTGGTTAAGGAAAAAAGAAAGAATTAGTAGTAAAATCTTTATATAGCTAGAAGTATCTTCATATTTTGCTGAAGATTTTATGCTTCTGATTAAATGCTTGTGAGATAAAAAGGTTAAGTCTCTATGATAATTTCAATAAAGTATCAAACTATCAGTCAGCCATGATATTTTTAATGACTATGCCAAGATTGCTCTTTGATTTCCTACTTGGTCTGAATCACCACAAGCTGAGTAGAAGGGGTTTTATTTTCTGCCTTTCTGCAAGGTGGATGAATGTTATTCTAGTCTCCGAGTCCCATTTTTCTGCTGCCTGTTTTCAGCACTCCCTCCACCTCCAATTCATAACTCTTCTCCTATAGTGTGAGTGGTTATAGCCATTCCTAGGGGAATCCCCACTCTCATGTTTTCTCACAGTACCATCCTGAAATCACTATCAAGTTTCCCTTTAACTATGGGAATTCCCTGACCCTAAGCCTCTCGGGCTCCTACTGGGGACCATCTGATATAAAATGTCATATTTCATTATTCAATGTCTTTGCCCTAGCCTGTCAGAGTTACCTCTTGCTGTTCAAGCATGGCTGGGGGCCAGGGAAACTTGTATCATCTAGGATCCTACCATCAACACTGGATCCTCATCCCATTCTGACCAGTCAGAATATACATAGTTACAAGGCTGACAGGTACCTTCAGTTTGAGTAGCACTGCCTGGAGTTATTCCTTAGAAGTATGCCTTTTTCCAAGGCCTATGCTACCCTTTCAAATAAATAGGTTGGATATTTTCTAGTTCTCCTAACATAAAAAAAAAACCTCAGCTAAATCAGTCCAGATGGATTTCTACCATCCCCTGTATGTTGTTAACCATTAGTGGAAGACGCCAAACAAAATATCTGACAAAAATTTTTTGTTCAGAGAAACCTATTGCTCTTAGTGGTCCCTAAACAGAATCCATGATTGAACTCTCAAGCCCTGCCCTAGGCTGAGAAGCAAAGAGGGGAAGGAAAACTTCAAGCTCCCCAACTTTTAATGTAATCATTTCAGATATTCTCCATCTCTATTGTTTCAAGACAAAATGTATTAGGTATGATTCAACTCACCAATAGTGTTTTTATAATTAATACTAGTAGAATAGAGTTACTAAGTGGATAAACTGACCTAGCAGTACTGCACTTTCTTCAAGTTCTGTTCCTCTTTGCAAAGCCAATTTTACATAGAATGGCATTAGATTTTAATATAAAGGAACATAAAAGTAGTTGCTCTGTGGCAGACATTTCCATGGGAAAATTACCCTTAGAACTAGATTCATATAATATGTAATGGTTATTTTTCAGACTGAATTATCATATTAGTTCTATTTTATTGTTTTATTGCAAAGTATGATTCCCAAAGAAGGTTAACTTACTTGTTTCATTCAAAATAATGAAGTCCAGTTTTTTGGAAGGCATTCGAACATCCTGTAACATTGTATCCAAAGCTGAATTGTCTTCTAGCACTCTTAGTTCTAAACAAGTACATAAAGCAACAGTAATTCATTTTATTGTGAGGAATTTAGATTACATAATGCCACAATGAGCATGAAATGTAATAACCAGATGGACCTTATATACTAAAGGTTATAAACCTTGTGTTCAACAGTGTTGAATGCTAAAAGCTAAGGAAAAATCATACAAGGCTACGCATACTATGGTTCTATTCACACACATTTTCCTGAAACCAAATGGAGAGATAAACAGGAGAAAATACCTTTGTCATTTGAGCTGCTATGTAAAGTATAGAGAGGCAGTCCAGGACCTGTTAACATAACCAGGGAAAGTATATTTTAATAAGAATAGCACATATAACTTCAAAAATAATATTATTTCCATTTAACTTTGATAGAACACACAATAAATATTGCAGTGGGTGCAGAGCTTAACAAATACCAACTGTGTTTCTTTTTATCTTTAAAATAACTGCAATTGGGTGCAGTAAATACTTCTGGAAAGGTACCAGGCTCAGCAGAATGGGGTGGGGAATGAACCTCTACCCTCCTAGGCATTCTGGGCACATTATCAGTCCTGAGCCTGATCTTTCATCAGTAAGCTTACGTGAGAAATAATAAATGAGCCCATTTTTCTTTATCCTTCATATGGAATTCCTCCCTAATCACACCACCTCTCAGACCCTATATTCTCTGGTGGTCCCTTCGCTGGAGCCAGCCTCACCTGGGGGAGGGCTCCCTCTGCCCAAGCACCCCCATTTGGAAGAGTCTTGGAGCCAGGAGCACATCTGTAGTGCCTGACTTGGATAAGCAATTCCTTCCTGGCAGGCAAAAGTGTTTTTCTCACAAGCCCTTATCTTCACTATTTATCCCAACTGTGGGAGTTGCAGAGAAGAAGGTAATGTAAAGCAAAGCCATTCATTTCTCACGCATTCAGATGATAATATTAACTTAAAGATTAGATTGAAACCACAAGACTTTCATAGACCTGGGTTTGGATCCTGGCTGGCCTAGGACAACATTATTAATGTCTCAATTTTCTCATATAGAAAAGGAGGTGAATAATATGATTTTTTTATAGTTCCCTAAGGGTTAAACAAAATCATGTATGTCAGTTCTCAGCACAGTGCATATGACAAAGCACATGTCCAAGAAATGGTGACAAAAAGCAGTCACAGGAAAGAAGCATAAAGAGTTATATAATCAAGAGACAAAGAGAGACTCAAATCTCTTTTTTGATGTTGCTAATGCTTTTCAAAATATCCAGATTCTAGCCAGGTGCTAGGGGCTTATGCCTGTAATCCTATCTATTCAAGCAGTTAAGATTTGACGATCCTGATTCATAGACAGCCCGGGCAGGAAAGTCTGTGAGACAATTATGTCCAATAAACTACAAAAAAAAAAAAAAAAAAAGCTGGAAGTGGAGTTGTGGCTCAAGTGACAATGTTCTAGCCTTGAGCACAAAAGCTCAGGGACAATATCTTGGCCTTGAGTTCAAGCCCCAGGACCAACACACATACACACACACACACACACACACACACACACACACACACACACACGGAGGGAGGAGCGAGAGACACACATGCACACAAATCCTAATTCCTTCTCTCATTTTGAGAAGTAATGAAACACAATCTTTAGAAGAGAAGGCTCATGAGGCAAAATCCTCCCATGCTTGAATCTCATTGCAGTTTTTGTGCGACCTCCATTACTCCCTGAGTCTTTGCTCCCAATCCAGGTTTCTTCACTTGTAATACATAGTAGCAATAGAATCAGAAGATAAGGCAGAGAGCATGTTGAGTGACAGGCACTATTCACAGTCTTCCATTTAAGGAATGAGTACACAAATAATCATTTAAAATCCAATTATGTGAATACGTACAAACAAAAGTCTTTGAAGAGAAAGGAAAGATGTTTATACTTAACATTAAATGAAAAGTGGACAGAAAAGTGATTTTAAAAGCTCCTCACATTCGAAAGGAGTGAGCTGAACAGAGAAGAAAGAATGGGCACTGGACAAGGAATGGGAATGGAAAGGAAACCTTAGGCGTGGAGAGACAAGCCCAAGAGGAGGTAAGGAAGCTGTCTGGAGAGGAGAATGGAGGGTCATATACACCTGCTGAGAGCCCAGGGAATCAGTGTCTCTCCCCTCTCCCCCTATCAGCATAAACTTACCTGAACACCTCAGCTGATAATACTTGGCCTGTTTGCTAAAGGACACCGAATAATACTGACACCTTTCTGGGTTGAGATCACAACTAAGGCATGTCACCTTTGTGTGGTCATTAAGTTGGACTCTGTAAAACCAACAGTGGAATTAAATATATGAAGAAAGAGCACATGAAAGAGGAAATTGAATAATGTCATAGTCTAGCTTCAGAGGTATCAGAATGGCAAAACAATCCTTATAAGCTTCTTAAAAAATATTAAGTCCAAGCTGGGCGCTGGTGGCTCACGCCTGTAATCCTAGCTACTCAGGAGGCTGAGATCTGAGGATCGCGGTTCAAAGCCAGCCCGGGCAGGAGAGACCGTGAGACTCCTATCTCCAATAAACCACTCAGAAAACCGGAAGTGACGCTGTAGCTCAAGTGGTAGAGCGCTCGCCTTGAGCTGAAGAGCTGAGGGACAGCGCCCAGGCCCAGAGTTCAAGCCCCACGACCAACAAAAAAAAAAAAAATTAAGTCCAGACATCAATAATGATTTAAACCTCCCATTGTTTGGAAAAGTCACAAAATATCTGATAAAGACATGATGATTGATTTATGAGAAAATAAAAACACTTGATAAACAGTTCCAGCTTAATGTTATTGAGAGCATGATAGAAAAAAAGAGATTGCTCATCAGCTCAAACACTAAGGTCGACAATTTGACAGAGCTCTTACTTATAAAGATTTCTTCCTCCTGGCATTCCTTTATATTCATTACTGATGTAGTATCTGGGAAGAAACAAATGTATATTAATTAATCAGCTATATTCCCTGAATTCAAGCCCAGACATGACCAGTGTATATGACGCAGCACCAGGGCCTGCCCTACCTTCACACTTGTTCCCTAGCCCTTCTCCATTACCTCCTGAGCCCTTCCCTTCATACTCTTTTATTTTTCTTAACAGACTAAACTGTATGAAAGAAGGGATTTCTTCATTAACTAAAATCACAGATAAAATTCAAAAGAATGTTTTTTCTATGGAAAATATGACCATGTGGGCTTTGGTGGCTCAAACCTATGACCCTAGCTACTCAGAAGGCTGAGATTTGAGAAATGCTATTTGACAAACTCAGACTCATCTCCAAATAGCCAGCAAAAAAAAAAAAATGGAGTAGAGACATCACACAAGTGACAGAGTGCCAATCTCGAGTGAAGACTCTAAAGGAGAGTACTCTGGCCTTTAGTTCAAGCCCTAATACTTGCATAAAAAAAAAGAAAAGAAAAGAGAAAATATGACTGAGTAGTCTGAAAATGAGCTCCTTGTAGCTATCCAGTTTTCCATATTTTTCTATTCATAGCATAGATTACTAAGTGGTACGGACCTTTTCCTCCAGAGAGTGCCAGAGCCATATCTTAAAAGTCTTCAAACACCACTTTGGGCAGCGGCAAAATTCCTATGTATGAGTCTGATAAAGAACCATAAAAGTGCTTGGGATTGTAATTTGAAAAATGGCATTTGCTGTTCCACCGAATCAGGTATAGTAGTGGATAGCCTTCTCCAAGCTTTCCATTTTCCAAAGAGAAAAGCTACGACACAGGCAGATAAAATTGCCTTTCCCAGCCTGCCAGAAATTCAGTGCCAGCAGAAAGTTCACAGAATGCCCCCAGTGCTCATGTAGCGCTTCAGGACGTTCTGGTAAAAGAGGCTGCAGTTCCCGTATTGTGAAGCAGGTAAGAGCAAGAGGTAGAGCTGCTCGGTGGCATGATATCAAATCTGCTGAACATATGTGAAAATCATTAAGGCTTCCGTATGTTAAAAAGAAAAAAAAAGATTGAACACATTCCAAATAGACTACTCTCTATTTGTAGGAGTTTTTTTTTTTCTTTTTTTTCTTCCTACTTCTGTGCAAGGAGGGCATGCATATAAAGCCTGGGTTTGTATTCTACTGGTGATTTGAATACTCACAGATAATTGCTGGTCACAGCTTCTATCCGAACTACTTCCCAGGCTCCTTCAGTAATAAATGTGCAGTCCTGATTGGGCTTTTAATAAGACATTCGTGAGACTCTCTAATCAAAAGTTAAGTAGAGGATTAAATCATTTCTATCAGATATTCAAATAATCTTGAGGACTGTTTTCTGTTAAAAATGATCTTTAAGTAGTTATGCAAAGGGTTTTAATTCAACCTGTCAATTAATGTGAGTACAATGCATCATGATCAACATCACCATTTCTATCATTTTTCCTTGTTAGGTATCCACATCCCAGCTCACCTTACTCCAATACCACTGAAGAATTTTGAATTAGCTTATTTGTATACACTGACTTTTCCAAAGTATTTCCACTGTCAGGTAGTTTCAAAAACAAGTCAACTTGGAATAGCATATGTAAGACTACTTACTTTATTTTCTTTTTGGAAAAGGCATATGTGTCTGTAACCTTCTTTATTACTGATGACCTTGTAGAAACTATTACCATCAGAGGTAAAATGAGGTTCTGCTGGTTTAAACTAGAAATAAAATAATAGAGAACAAAAAAATGTTAAAACACTAGGCTCATGTCAGAATCAACTTTAGTTTTATAAAATCCTCCCAACACCTGTGTTCAAACCTCTATACTGCATTTCCTTACCAAATAAAACTACAGGGTATCAGAAAGACAATCATCCTACAGTGAAATGTGAACAAAATGATCAAACTCATGGGGAAATTTTGGTGGACAAATGAGAATGAACATTTACCTCCGCCTGGGACTTTTTTTTTTTTTTTGTCAGTCATGGGGCTTGAACTCTGGGCCTGGGTGCTATCCCTCAGCTCTTCAGCTCAAGGCAAGCACTCTTACCACTTGAGCCATAGCGCCACTTCCAGCTTTCTGGTTGTTAATTGGAGATGAGTCTCATGGATTTTCCTGCCTGGGCTGGCTTTGAACTGTGATCCTCAGATCTCAGTCTCCTGAGTAGCTAGGATTATAGGTGTGAGCTACCAGCTCTTGGGACTCTTGGTATATAGATATGGTTCTGCTATTTTGAAACATCTTCTCTCCATAAAAACCATGATGTCAAATGCTGGTGGCTCCCACCTGTAATCCTTGCTACTCAGGAGGCTGAAATCTGAGGATAACATTTCAAAGCCAGCCCAAGCAGGAAAGCATTCTTCTCTCCAGTTAACCACCAAAAAGCCAGAAGTGATGCTGTGGCTCAAGTGACAGAGCCCAGCCTTAAGCAAAAACTGCTAAGGAGCTGCAACCAGGCCCCAACTTCAAGCATCAGCGTACACAATAAGGATGGTGACTTCGGGTCCCATGTTTGTAAAACCTAGCATTTATCTACACTCAGAAAATAAATTCCTTCAGTGTCACAAATATACTTGCATGAAATAGACATACAATTAATTGCCTATTTCAGGTTGGGTGTGTTTAATTTCGGAGAATTTGAACCTTTATTTACAAGCTTTACTTTTGAAAGTCAAGCTTTCAAAAGGAAAGATAGACCATCAGTGATGTCTCTTGTATATTTCATATGGAAGCATGCATATAGTTACTTTTATCAAAAGCTTTTTCATTTTCCTAAAGATGATCAACATTTTATAAGAAAAGGTTGCACAGAAATATGGAAGAAAATTTTCTTTTTCTTTCATTTCAATAAAAGACAGTATGCAGAATAAAATGCAGTTTGAGTAAGAGAGTGTCTGTCCCAGCCTGAAAGGAATATGTTGCTTTACAATTTCCATTTCCTAGCTACATTTGAGAGCAGGTAGGAGATGGTCTTTTAAAAATGTTGGTTCACTTCACCCTCGATGTTGCCTCTCTCATCAGCTCCCATTTGGGGAAGGAAGACAAATGCTTGCCTCTTCTATTTAGTAATTCGAAGTGAATTCATTTATGGAGCAAGCTGAGGCGTGCAGTACACTTGGTGTTCTCATTACAGAGCTCTGAAACACATTCCCCTCTCCAGACCTGTGTTCACAGCCTTATCTTTTTAATACATTTCCCTGTTTCCCCTGGATGGAGTTGTGCCTAGTAGAAATGTGTGAAAAGTGGCATCTGTCTGGTTAAATACAGAGAGGAAAAAACATATTTTTTTCTAAGAGTCGTGAGGAAGTGTAGCGTGTCTCTTGCCATGGAGGAAACCACTTTTCATGTTGGCAAACCTCTCCCCTCTGCCCAATCAATGCCTGAAGAGAAAGGACACGCCAATGTTACCAGAGTTCTGAGCCCAGCTGGATGCAGTCATCTTCCTGGACGGTGGCCTCGCCTCCATCACGCAAGCGATGTAAAATATTTACATTTTTGTGTGTGTTGCTTTATTTCCCTCTCAAAGGATTAATAGAAATATTCATGAAAGTTAGATGCAATCCATTTTTTTTCATAGTTGTAGAAGGTGTCATAATGACTGCAGTTCTGTCCTCTACCTGTCCTTCTACCAAGGGCTATCTGACTATTTAAAGCATCACCTGTGGCCCATACAAAGTGATCAATATAGACAGATAGCTGAGGGCAGCCATGAGAAGTTTACATGTCCTGTCTTGTTTCATATGATTTCATGAGGCTTCTGTGGCCTGTGGGCTGGATGTTCCCCACCCCTGATAATTTATTCCATGGACTGATAACAAGGTAGTTGGTCGTTCTATGTGGTGGGTATGAGATGCAGAAGGAGTGAGAAGCAGAGGAAGCTTCTAAAGGCCACTATGCTTTCTGGAATAAAGTTCTGCATCTGAGTGCCCAATGACATGCGAACTCACATGAGTATGATTTCCTCCTGAGAGGTGTATCAGGCATTGTGTGGTTGTGCTGAGTTTCTGCTAGTTGTAGTTGCATCTCCTTAGGCATTTTTCCAAGCTGCGATGGAAACTGTGCTTTCTATCTTCAAAGCACATAACTTCAAATATGAGGTCAACAGGCACAATCAGCATCCTGGCTGCCTTTCAGCAGTGCTTGCTTTTTAACTTACTGGAAGCTACAGTTTGCCTAGAGTACGTGTTTCATGCTCTGTTCTTGACTTTGTCTAAATGAGTATGTTACACATTGTTCATTAAAAAAAGATATTATCATAAGAAGCATTTCCAATATTTTGAGAAATAGGTCAACTGGTATCTCTACCATTGAGAAATAATAGAGTCATAGTATAGAAAATTACTCAGCTCTGAGGAGCTGACCCATATATATTCTGTAACTCAGTACTTACTCTTCCAACCCAGCCTGTAGTACTTGTTTCAACATGCTGCTGTGCCTAGGAAGGAAACAAAATACAGTGACAGCCACTTCAAAGAGAAGTAAGATGATGAAATCTCTTCTCAAGACACAATTTGTGGGAAAATAAGCAACTTGGCATTTAAAATGACTGAACATGAAAACTCTCCATTCATACATTTCTATTAGTGTTAGCAGTTTTTAGTGAAATTACATTCAATTATTTGCCTTTCTTGCCAGGAGCTCTCTCTTGGCTCCAGCCCATACATATATTGTCCTGAAGCTCCACTGACATTTTATTTATTTATTTATAAATTCATATGTTTGTTATCTTTAAGTAGTTATACAGAAGATTTCATTTTAACCTGTCCACTGATATTTAGCGTCAACAGGTACAGAACTGAAGATTATTTCCTTCTCCTCCCCACGTTCTCTCAAGTGAAAAAAACTGGGAGTCATTCTAGATTCCTATTCTTCTATAGCTCCCTTGGTCAGCCCATCTCTTGACTTCTCTATCTGTCATTGACTGCCTTCTTGTTCTTGGCAGGTTTCCCTTGGTCCACTGCCATGGTCTCCTAATTGGAGATGCTGCTTATCATTTCTCCTTCTGTTCTACTATCCACCATGCTTAGCCCCCACACCCCTTGCAACAGTTCCAGTCCCGTCATGACACTCTTTCAATGTAAAAGCTTAAAAGAGTTCCTATTTCTTACAACATAAATCCAGATGCGTCAGATGTCACCTGAGCCAGAATTCTATTGCTAATTCTTCAGAATAGCACATGAGCCTGATCTGCTATCTCTAGCCTCAGTTTCCATTTCTGTTCCTCTTATCTAGCCTCAGTGACAAGTGCCCATAGTTCCTGCAAACTCTCACTTATCACTCTAGAACCTTTTCCTCGGTCCACAGCTTAGAAGGGTCTTTGCTCATATCTACTATGCTCTGTTTCCCCTATGCGATTTCCTTATTCTGCTCTAACTGGTCACAGCAGAACTGTCTTTTATCTCTCTTCATCTGAGGTGCCTTGAATAAAGCCTTTTATGGCACTATATCCTGATAGGATGATGATTTAATTCTCAAGAAACAAAGATTTGGGGTTTTGCAGTTGTAGTTCTAGCTTTGTCCTGTGACCTGATCAAACTCAACTGAACTTCAGTCTCAACAGGTCCTCACAGACTAAGTAGTTAGTATATGATAAATCTTAGGGTGTATTTCCTTCCTTCCTTTCTTTTTTGTTTGTATTTGTTCTGTTCCTTTCTTGTATTACTAAGTATTCAACTCAGTGACTCACACTTGGTAGGAAAAGAGTCTACAACTTGAACCACGCTCCTCATCCTTTTGAATTTATTTTGTTACTCAGATAGAATATGTGCTAATTTGGGGCCATGATTTGATTTCCCTACTTTTGACTCCTTAGTAGCTTGGATTACAGGTATAAGCCTCCTATCTGGCTTAAGAGTTTTTTTAAAAATAAGATTCACAAACAGAAATGAAGATAGAAATGATATTTGACTTTATATATATATATATATACACATTAGCACAGTTTAGAACATTATAGGCAATTAGTATTTCCTCCATGAATTAATAAAGGGAGAATTAGGATATGCTCCAGCCCTCTGATATGAGAGACAGCACTGTGCCCAGTCAGGTTAGAAACTGGGAGGGGAGATTTAGAGACATGGCACACGGCCAGAAAGGTAGGCATGATAATGTTCTTAACAAGTACCAGCAAGCCTCTTCTAAGTGATATCCCTCCTGAGGTTAATACCTCTCCACGGAGCATCTGTGGAACTGCCAGCCTGGCTGGATCTTACTGTCTTCGGGTTGTATTAACAAAGTTTGTCTGTGTTCCTATCCTACTTAAAGACATCCATAGGGTGGTAATGAATCTGTGGCCTTGTTTTATATATATGGCCAGTCATTCCCCACCCTCTACATTTGCACTTTTAAATCGCCCTTCACTGCATTTGCAGCCCCTGGCCCACTTTGCATTTTTGTATAATATCATCTCATTCTGTCTTTCAGGTTTCTAGTCATGCTTTCTCCTTCCTCAGGTGATCATATGTGTAATGAAATGGGAACAAAGGTAAAACAGAGTTTTACCTTTAGATATCAGGTTATCTAACAGGCAAGACTGACCCAAAGCCTCATGGTTGGACACATGTCAGGAGAAGGGATACTCAAACTGTGGGCACTAGTGGCTCACACCTGTAATCCTAGCTACTCAGGAGGCTGAGATCTGAGCATGGCAGTTCAAACTCAGCCCAGGCAAGAAAGTCCATGAGACTCTTATCTCCAATTAGCCACCAAGAAACCTGGAGCAGAGTTGTGGCTCGAAGTGGTAGAGCACTAGCCTTGAGCAAAAGAGCTCAGGGACAGCACCCAGGCCCTGAGTTCAAGCTCGACAACCAAAAACAATTTCAAAAAAAAATACAAGACCAAAACAAAACCTACGCTTTCCAATCCCCAATCTTTTCTCTCCCTGAGAGCACTTCTTATTTTAGAAGTACAGTTTCCCAACTGTCTTACCAATAAGCAATTCCATGTTAGGTTGGACTTATCATAGTCACAGATGTCCATCACAGAGTAATTCTGAATCCTCCTGAGCCACTGCAAAGAGATTCTTTCTTCTGAGACCCATGTCACATCACACAAATAGTGGTCCCTGGAAAAAAAGAAGGAAGGAAGGGATGGAGAGAGGGAGGGAAAGGAAGAAGGAAAAGAGGACAGGGCGTGGAAATGGGAGAGGGACAGAAGGATGGAGGGAGGGACAGGAAGGAAAAGAGAGGGAGAGAGGAATGGAAAGAATGAATTTGTTTCAGACTTTAAGAAGAATTTGTTTCAGGCTTGGTACAAATAAACATTTTATTCAGTAAAAAGAATAAATTTCATGGAAGAAGAATTTCAAATAGTTAAGTTTTAATACCATAGAAGGGTGGGCTTTTTTTTTTTTTCATTTTTATAGTTTTTCTAACACTAAAAAGCAGTAGCACTTCTGACAGTAGCTTAAAAAACATTTACCACACCATAGACTCAGGACTTTCAGATCCACAACTTAGATGCTGATGGTACCAGGGAGTCAAAGGCAGGGATTTCCCATCCCTCGTCTGCTCTCTTGAAGGAACAATACAATCCTCCCAAGCCCTCAGAACACTGGTTGGGATTCTGGTATTTTCTGGAAATTAATTTGTTGTGTTCCTGAGGAGAATTCTTCCCATTAGGAAGAAACTAGAGTTCACCCTTTTCTCTACTTCTTTTAAACTGGGAAAAATTGCCTCACATCTCCACAGAGAATCAGAGTATTAAAACATAAAATAACATTTTTTTTCAAAGTCAAAACATGAGCCCCCTGGTGAAATAATAGAGTCTAGTTACATTTTAACCTAAATTTATATTGAGACCATTCCAGCACTTCATCCCTCCCCAGTGTATATCTTTAAACGTTTTTGAAACCACTTTCTGATGGATGATGAAATGCATGGGATTTATCATTTGTACTGCTGCTGACTGTTCTGGATGGTTTATGTTTTTTTTTTTTTTGACTTTTTGTTTGTTTTTGGTCCTTTCCAAGTGTCATTCTGAGAGGCTATTCATATCCACTCCAGTGTCTGATCAAAGCCTTGCTCTCATGTTTCAGAAAGTTCTACATGAGTCTCTCCATCCAACCCGGTCTAGTATTGTGACCAGAAGAGGGAGATAACCTGCACCCCAGCTGCTCGCCACTCCCAGCCATCCTCACCCCCTCTTCTGGTCACATTGCTCTCCTTGCATCACTAACAGCTTTGAGGCAGGATCCACATGTTTTATTCACAGGAGATCCCTAGATCTTGAGGAGATGTCTGGTACAAAGAAATATGTTCACTAAATTCCTGTTTAAAGGCAAAACTCTGTCATGACTTTTGTGACCTAAATAGCACTGTCCTTCCTGATAGCTTCAATCAGTTCCTGTCACCACTATTTCACACTCATTAAATCATACACAAAATAGTTATAGACCTGTCTGGATGGCTCAAGATGAAGTGTGTTAATGCCCTTCTAGCTTTACTATTCCCCTTTTAAGTGTGGGACACCTAATGAGTCAATGCTCCCAGTGACACAGAGTCTCCATGCTGTGCCTTTGCAGGCTGCAGATACTAAAACCAGAGCAAAGCACTACCCCACATTGGGACACTTGTTCAATTCAGTACTCTTATTGCTCCATAACAACCCATACACTCCCTAATCTGGGTTGTCCTGATCTCCCTGACATCTTCAGTTTTTCCAGCCATCTTTTCTCTTTTTTATTGTCAAGGTGATGTACAGAGGGGTTACAATTACATAAGTAAGGTAGTGATTACATTTCTTGTCTAACTTTTTACCCCTTCCCTCACTTTTCTACCTCCCCCCCCCCCCAAGGTGTACAGGTCATTTCCAACCCATTGTCCTGTGAGTATCTCTGTGGCAAAGGTTCTCCCTTTGTTCTTTATCTCACCATTTTGTTGTTCCCCTTCCTTTCCCTAATTCAGATGAAAATATATGCCAATACTCAGGGTACCAAAATCAAATACAGTGAGAACAGAGGATAAATCAAAGGGAGAAAAACACAAAAGAAAAAAGATATCACGTAGTACCTGAGGACAATAACAATAAAGAAAATGATGCTAAGTGAAATGAACTCCATTTACTTTTGTTGTTGCAGCCATCTTCTCTTTGTCCTTATTGACTTTGTCCTTCATTCTGAAAGGACTTCCAAGCCCTAACTTCTTTGCAAGGGGGTATTAGAGCTTGAACTCGGTGCCTCGGAGCCATCCCTTAGTTTTTCATTCAAGACTGGTGCTCTGCCATTTGAGCCACAGCTCTACTTCCAGCTCTTGGGTGATTAATTGGACATAAGAGTCTCATGGACTTTCCTGCTGAGACTAGCTTCAAACTGTGATTCTCAGTAGCGTAGCCTCCTGAGAAGCTAGGATTACAGGCCTGAGCCTCTGGTACCCAGTATGCTCTGACTTTTTTAGGTCTTAGCTTACATGTCCCCTTGTTCACTATGTTTCCTTAGAAAGCTCCTGCTGGTGTCTCCATTGCCCAGACTTTAATCACTGCAGTCAGGCTGCAGCAGCTGACGTTGCTTCTCTGCATACCCAGGAAGGAGCAAGGAGTTTCATCTATTCCTGCTCTGTGCGTGCACTCAACACAGAGTCAGATATGGAAAGGAAAATAGGGTTTATACCAGTCAGAGAATGCACTTAGGGAATGAACAGAAAATAGTTAAACAAAATAGAAGATGAAGGTTTTTTTTGGGGGGGGGGGGAGGGGTTCTGGTCATGGGGCCTGAACTCTGGGCCTGGATGCTGTCCCTCAGCTCTTCAGCTCAAGGCTAGCGCTCTACCACTTGAGCCACAGCACCACTTCCGGCTTTTTTTCTTTTTGCTTATGTGGTGCTGAGGAATCGAACCCAGGGCCTCAGGCATGCAAGGCAAGCACTCTATCACTGAACCACCTTCCCAGCCCCAGAAGATGAAATTTTTAAAAATTAATTATGTAGGCCAGGGATTGAGAACTTTGCACTGAAAGGCCAGAGAGTAAATATTTCAGTCATTGTGTTCCACATATTTTCTGTTCCAGCCACTTTGCTTAGGCAAGTGAAAATATATGGGAGTGTTTGTGGCTCATCCCTATAATCCTAGATACTCAAGAGTCTGACACCTGAGGACTGAGTTTCCAAGACAGCTCAGAAGTTTGAGAGACTCATATCTCCAATTAAATAGCAAACAGTAAGAAGTGGAGGTACTCAAATGCTAGACCTTCAACCTTGAACAAAAAAAATCTAAGCAAGAGCCTGAGGTGGTAAGTTTAAGCTTCAGTATAGCATCAAGAAAAATGAAGAAAAAGAAAGAAAAAGAAAAAAAAATCCCCAAACATCAACAACAAAACAAGCAGAGTATTTATGTTCCAATATAAAGCTAAACTTTAAACTTTATATAGTGATGTGAATCACTATATATATATACATTATATACTATGGTATATATAGTACATTATATATAATATATATTATAAACACATACATATATACATATATATTTACATTCTTTCTAACCTCTTAAAAACATAAAATCATTTTTATGTATTGATGATATGAAAATGGGTGACAAGCTAGATTTGGGCATGGCCACTGCTGGGCTAACCTAGGCTGTAAATCTTATTTGTTTATGTCACAAGCCATGTGGACTATCAGCTGGAAATGAAGCACCTTTCTCGAAGGGAATGTGGTTCACTCACATGCACAAGATTATGGAAGATTCATGGGCACAGATGAGGAAGTTTGCATCTAGAAATACCTTTCTGCTTTTGTAAAGTATCCTGGTGGTAAAGGGGGCAGGCAAGAAGAAAAGCGAGCCACTCAATAGCTTTATCTACTAACACCATACATTTCTAAACCACAGGCTCAGAAATCTACATTATACTGCAACTTTTCCCCACTTGAAAACGCTGAGTAATGGCATTTGGGAAATCAGCCAGTGATCTCACATGCATCAGGACCTTCCCTGCCCATTTCTAGATAAAGGTTAACGAACCTAGGCCCTCTACTACCTTTGTCGCTGTCCCGTGACCCAGTGTGTACTCTGTACCCTGGGAAGGCTTGGTAAAGAGTTGTAGACAGTCACTTTCGAATTTTCTTGTCAACATACTTCTTTTCAGTTGCAGCTCTGAGCCAGGATTATGCCAAGTCTGAGATGTTAGAGTCATGAAAAAGATGTAAACCAATGGCTTAACTGAGCTTTTTACTACAAGGTTTAAGTCCCACTTTAAATCAGAAACATTCAACTAGGAGGGTTATCATTATCACCTACACTTTCAGACTACATGCTGGTTTTATTTTGGAAAGACAGAGAGAGACAAATATTGAATAGACTTCCCTTTTGTAATGCTTATGTAAGGGTAGAAAAGGGCCAACACCTGCAGCCAGGCCTTTCTGTCTTTTGTGAGTTCAGACCTACTACCTGGGTGAGGGATAATGACTCAACAAGCACCTCTAAATGTGGAGCTGTATTAGCCAAAGGGGAGTTACTCCTGGTTTTAATGCTAAAGCAAGGGGAAATTTCTGGATATAGTAATAAGAGTTCACACCCTGGTGGTATCTTTTCTGTGCCAGGAACTATTCTAAGTGCTTTACATAAAGCTCATGACCCCTCTGGGAGGTAGGTGCCCTTATAGTTCATGTATAGTAGATAAGGAAATGAAAGTGCAGAAAGGTTAAGTAACTTGTCCAACATCCCTCAACTGGAAAGTGTGGGAGCTAGGATTCAAATGAAGCAAGTGGCTGCAGATTTCCTGTTCTTTGTTCCCACTATGGAACCTCTGCCTATCCCTTGAGGAAACACTGCTACTTAGCATCACCCTTTTGCTTCTTTTCACCATCAGATTCCTCATGTAATGAAATTTTTTTCCCCCTAGAGACGCATGGGCACTAGATTTTGTAAAGCAAGGCATAGTTGAATGAACCAAGACAGACTTGCTTTTGAGCATCTTACCACAGGCATTCCCCTATAAGGTGGTTGCCTGTCCTGACACTGTACCTTGCAAAGAATAGGCATTTCATAAAAGTCTTTCAGACGGCCCTCATTTGTGTAAATCTTTCATTTGGGACATACAAAATACTTAAAATAAGATAGGTGTTACTAACTGGAAAAAAAATACTGAAAGGAAAAATACTAGTAAGAGCAACCACAGACTATGGAGTGATTAATTCAGCAAATCACCAGAGGATACAGGCATAGTGCCAGTGCTGGCCTTGGGCTCCATGCCACCCTCTGCTCTGATGGAGATGCCAACCCTAATGGGTCCACTGACAGATCTCTGGCAAGAGAAATAGGTGGGGTAAGAAAGAGCAGATTTGATAGCGGCAGCATCGGTAGCAAAAGAGCCCGAATTTGCCTCCTTCTAGCAAGTATCACTGGTCTCGAGGAAGTATCATTTACTTAACCCTAGAGTGGCAATCTCAGACTTTAACGACTGTGGGATACTGACCACGGATCATCCACTGTTCAGAAGAGATACTACAAGTCTTTATTTATAGAATCCTTCAGGCCTAGAACAAACAGGGACAGGATACACTATGAGCTGTGTGTGTGATGGGACCCAGGGGCCATTCAGCAGATGTTAGGTGAGAACAACTCAGAAGAAAACATCCTCCCCAAAGGCAGGAAGGCCACAGAATTTTCAGGTGGTTAAGAAAAGCTAGAAAAGAAACTTTGTTGTGTAAAGTTAAATGATTTTGCTTAGAGCTGACTGGGCAAATTGCTATGTCCTCCTTCCTCACAGTTACCTGGAAAGACAAACTTTATTCATTCATTTATTCACCCACCTATCCATCCACTTGTCTATTAGTTTAATTGGCTAGACACCTGCTGCATGTCAGGCATCCTGCTAGGCACCAGAGATACTAGGTAAAAATGGCCAGTGCATTGTTGATGTTATTTCTGTTAGCAATGTAAAGCATTACTCTAATTGAAACAGGGCTTTCAAAATTGCTTCTTACATGCTGTTTTGTCTGCAATGTCTTGAGATCTCAAATTCCCATTATGAGTAGTCAATGCTCATTAGCAGTTTAACCTAATCAGCTTCAACAGGGAATCAATAAAGGTAGTGGAGAGGCTCACTTTGAAAGTTCAAGTTGAGGCCAGGATATCCTCATGCCTTACCACAGAGTAGTGATTTCTACCAGTTTCTAACAAAACCACAAATTTCATCCTTTGCTTGCTAGTGGATCTATGACAAAAGGACATGGGCAACTGGAAAGTGAATGAAGGGAGTATGAAAAGAAGTACGAGAAATACGGATCCAATTCAGGAGCTGTCAAGTACAGGGTAATCCAGCCCAGAGGCTGGGCAGTTCACTAAGTGGCATAACTTTCCTGGCTTGCCTTGGTCCTGCTGGATCTTTGCTGGAGGCCTACTGGGGGTGTCTCACCACAAGAGAAAACATTTTCTCAGAGGAGACCTAGAGCCTGCTTTTAGAAAAGCTTCAACTTTCAGTGTTAACAGCTATGTTTGCATGCCCTGTGGCATTGCCCCCAAATGATTCTTCACTAATGTAATACTCCCCATAAAATATCCACAACTAACAAATCCCCACTATTCACTTAGCTTAAAGAACTACCAAGAACAAGAGTTAATGATTAATTCACAGAGGGCAAAAAATAAGTCCTTAGAGCTGGTTAGGTTTTCTGGGCTCAGTGTTTTCGATTCAACACAGTGCCTTGAAAAGTGATCTCTATGTAGAGCTGACTATGTCTCTTTGTCAGTAAAATGGCTGTGAAAGTGTGTCATGTGCTTCTGGAGAATAAGAGAGATGTGGGGGGTGGGTAGCATGTTGAGCTCAGGCCTGTATCGCTCAGAAATTCTCAACACATTTCAATTTCATTAGCTATTATTTTGTCCCAGAAGGCACAGGCATTGGCCCTATTCCAATTTCCCATACTACTTTGCTGTCTGATTTGGGCAAATGGTTTTACTTCTCTGAACCTTCTCAACTGCACCTCAGAGTGGAACTTTATATTCAGGAGATCTCTCCAAGCTCTCTCTAACCTCTCAGGAATTCTAGGGAGGGAGTAGAGACACGACCTAGACTTGCCCAACCTGAGCATCAATCTTCCATCTGTTTTTTGAATCAGACTTCTGCATTATATTTCACGTGAGCAAAGGTTTCCAGGTCCTTAAAAATGTTTATAAACTATTGGCAAGGTCTAAAGCTCCTTTCAGGTGAAATGTTTTTCTGAGTAGGCACTCATGGCTCATCTTCTCTACAGGCGTATATTGGTTGCAGGCCAAAAGGCCACCCAGGCACTCCCAGGCTCTTCCAAGCTAGCCCTGTGCATTCCCATGCCCTGAGTTCCACCTCATTGCCTTACTAGAGCTCCCCTGCCTAAGCTGCCCATTCCACAGGATGCATCCTTTGATTCTTAGGTCATGAAAAGCCCACCTCCCTCCTTAGAATGCCTCTAGCCTGTGGTCTAGACCTCTAGCACTTCACTCTCTTTCAGTTATTTATCCAAATGTTTTACATGGCTTCTCGGATCCTAAGTGCTACAAGAAAGCAGGCTTCCTTTATGCATAGCAGTGTAAATCGTAATGTTCAATCAATGTTGATTGAAGAGATGGCTGCGTGAGACTGAATAGAAAATTTTGCATAAAAATTTTACACTGTTGAATAAACTTAGGAGAAAAATACTTTGTTTTCTTTTAAATCTTAGTTGAGTTCCCCTTTGAATTAATAGGCTAATGAAGATTCTCTGACTAAGTTAAAGATTTACTAAACACAGAGCCCAGCCCGCAGCAAGCTTGGCAGTTAATACAATCCCAGGGAAAATGGTGTCTTCCCACTACTCTGACACCTTTCGGCTTCTCAAAGCACCAGGTTACACAAGGCCGGATGCCTAGTTGCTCTCCCTTTGCAGTCACAGTGACAGGTTTGCACACAGAATCCCATTTGGTTAGTTTCTTAATCTCTGATCTCATGTCATTATTATCTGCATAACAGGCACATGAGAAGAACCATTGGAATGGCTGAGTTCTTACTTTAAAGTGTAGTGAGATAGAGCATGTGATAATGTCCTGTGTCTGGCATACCATGAGTGCTCATTATGTGCTACTGCTAGTTAACAACAACAACAAATCCAATGCAAATAACAGAACTAAGTTATGAGCTACTTGGCAGTCATAAATTACACCAAGTATGGTTTCTTTACAGGAAGATGAATATGGGTCTGAAGGTGCTTGATGGCAGAATCTCAAACCTCTAGGATAGTTGAAAGCAAGAAACATCTTGAATGACAAGATGGTCAGGGCTCCCAATCTGAGTGCACAACTTCTCTGAATTTCTCTAGGACTTACCCTGGCCTAGAAAACCCCATGTGGTCCATATCTCTCACCACTCACCTTCTCTTTAGTACTCTGACCTCCCTGTAGCTCCTCTAATGCCCCCAGTACATTCCTTCTGCAGTGCTTTTGCACTTCCTCTGCCTCTAACCCTGGGATCTGGTATTGGATGGATCCCCTTCCTTATTTCATATCATTGCTCATAGTTCAGTGTACTACAAGGATGTCCCTGACCACCCCTCACCAGCCCTCACACTTTTGCTTTGCTTTGTGTCACATTTATTACTACCTGGCATTTCACACTATTCATTATTTATCTAGCTATTATTTGTCACCCCCACTTTGAGTGAGGACTCCATGATGCTTGGATGCTGGCTGAACTGTTCTCTGGGCAGTTCTGTGGCCAGCCTGAAAATATGAAGCGATCTGATGAATGGAAGAATGAAGGAATGCTAGTCTGTGTTTTGCAGTGGGATACTACTGTTGATGTCTTCATTCATACCTGGACTGTTATTGCTGGGCAGTGGGGAACTATCCACTACTCAAGCATTCAAGAGAAACATCTTACCCTTTTATCACAGATGTAGGAGCAGTGATTTGGAAGGAAGTTGGATTGGTAGCTGAGTCTATATTTACAACAAAGAATTTTACAGTTGGATTCACGGCTCCTGCCTAGGGGGGAAAATGATCACATAATTGGTATGGACAAAAAAACCCATAAATTTGAGACTGCACAAAATCATTGCCTTATCACCATAAAATTATAGCAACTTGAATTTGCAAACAATTTAACATAAATAAAATGGACATAAGGGAGAGTCAGGAAGTATGACCTTTGTATGTTCAGGTGGAAACAAAATATGCATATATGTGTTCACTCATGCCTGTGTGTGTGTGCATGCATGTGCAGGTATAAAAAAATAAAAGCCCAAAGCATGCTTACTTAAATAAAGAATGTTTACATGTTCATAATTTATGTACTTTGTGACAACGAGGTTAACAACATCTTAAAATTAGTTCTATCATTTGCATATATATACTGATTCCACAGGACAAAGACTCCCTGGTGGATATTACCATGAAGAATACATTGGATTCTGCCAAAGATATGGTCCACTAAGAAAATTAGTACCTGAGCCCATGCCCAATGATGCTAATTAGGCAGCCAGCATTTCCAGTCCAATTTCAGGTTCACCATGTTGGATCTTTACAGTCAATATTATGACAGAAGTTTGTTAAGCCTTTTAAAATATACACATAGATCTTCTATTGACAGATTAGTTAGGAATAATATGATATTTTTAGTGAGAACACTTTATGAGATTTTTTTTGCCAGTTTTGCTCATCAAAAAATAACATTCCACTGAAAACACATCTCCATATTTAGTTTCAGATCTTTTTTTCCTTTTAACTTCCTTTCCCTTCCTAAAATGGCAGCTCTTCATAACGCAAATTAAGTGAGTTGGTAAAAATAAAAACTCTTTTTTCCAAGTCACTTGCAGTAAAAACATTTTGTTCGATTTTCCTGTAGATGATGCTGTGACCACTATAATCACATTACTAGAGAAGAATTCTGGTTCCTTTCTAATATCACCTAATTTCCTGGCTTACCCAGCTTAACAAAGCTCTTCAATTTTAATGAACACATATCCTGGGTGGCAGAAAGCAACCTTGTAAACCAAAATGTGGCACTGCTATCACAAATGTAGGGCGTGCAAAATTTACATTCACTGAATCCAGTCATGTACTGTATCCGGTTAATTAGTAATACAATCTGATATATAACCAAGCTTTTCAACTTCAACTCGGGCACATTCCAACTTCTACAAATGAGATGAGCTTCTGATTCAATTACAGTCTCTCTTTTTCTTTCATTCAAACATTTTTATCCCTCCCCCCTACCTCTTTCAAAAGCATTTCACCATCTTTTTCTGCTTGTCATTTCTCAAAGTTTTTGGAGAAATTACAAAACCTTAAATCACACTCTTTCCTGGGATAATAAAAATACTTTAAAATTGCCAGATGCTGTTGACTTCAGCAAGAGTAATCACAGCAAGCTGTTGAAGAGAGACTGACAATATTTTCATTAGCAGGAAGGGATTAAATGCAACCATTCTCTCCCCATCAAATCACAGAACCACTATATGAACAAAAGCTCAGACCTTTGGATATGGAATCCACACAGTCTTCGGGTACTGCAATGACTCGTCCGAGTAGAAGGAATATTCAATAAGTGGGACTCCAGTGTCGTTAAATTGGGCATATGCTATAAAAGTGCCATTTGGAGACCACCACAGAGCAGAGTAGGCACCAAAGACTTCCTCTGAGAAAAAGACATAAATTGTTCTGTTACAAGAAGTAGCTGATAAATTGGCTTTGGCATTCAAAATATTGTTCTCATTAGCTTGAGTAATTACAGTAGAGTTCAGCTAATGAACCACTTCACTTTTGCTGGGCTTCCAAAATCAGAGTAATACGAGTGAATGAAAATAAAATCTTCAAAGATATATCTAGATTATAAAAATAAGTAACCCATTCAAGCATTTTAGAATATTTTAGCATGTGATATTTAATATAAGCTCTACATTTTTTCCTTTATTTTATAATCCTCTAAATTTATGCCTCAAAACATACTAAAAGTAAATTTCACACAAGAGGCTGATTTTCCTTTCTAATTTTCTAACAGTCAAAATGCCAGCATATTCTCCCCAACTGGGCTGAGTTTGTACTGAGCCCACAAGGTGCTGTTGGGTGGCGTGTAGCTCTAGGTTATCAAACCAATATGGTGCCCAGAGTTTACTACTCTTGGCAAAAACAAAGTATGGGAAGAATGGATTTAGAATGGCAATAGCCTCATGAGACCCCTACTGGGAATATCTCTTTTGTCCACTCAGGAATTTGAAAATTCACTTGGTTTAACCCTCCTTTTCTGATATATGGGAAAAGGGTCAGAGAGGGAGGCAAATGAAAGAAATGCCTTTCTTTCTACTACATTGTTGGACTAAATTTCAATTCCTGACAAAGGCAGCTCCTCCCAACAATTATTATCAGATCTGCTCATGGGAAAATTCAGTTTGTGGCTCTTTAAATTTCCAAATCTGTTTCACTAACTGAGAATGGAGAATTTAAGTTTGGATTGTTTCCATGTATATTGTTCCTAGAAGGCCCATGTGTTAAAGTCTTGGTTCTCAGTACCTGGTCTTATTGGGAAGTGATGGAAACTTTAGTAGGTAGGCCTGGTAGAAAGAAATTAGTCATTGGGGAAATACCCCAGAAGGGGATTCTCCTTTCTTTCTTCTTCCTGGAATCTATGAAATAAACATCCTCTTCTGCCATGCACTCTCTGTGGTGATGTATCAAATTGCTACAGGTCCAAAACAATTGTAGCCAAGTTATCATGCACTGAAACCACTTATCCTGGGAGCCAAAACAAACCTTTCTTCTCTTAAGTTGTTTCTTATAGGTATTTTGTTACAGTAATGGAAATATAACAGATAAGCAGACTTGGTAGAAACTCCTATTTAATCTATGTCTCATGTGATGGTATTGGTAAATGTAAAAGCGAAGGCATTAAAAACTGGAATCTTAGAATAAGGAAATTATCACTGATCTGATGACTAAGATCTTTGCAAGTTGCAATCTGAAAGTTGCTTCAAAATACACTTTCAGTGATAACAATTGCGGGAGCAGTAAAAACAGTAACAATGAAATGAATAATTATCTTGATAAATGGCTGACACTTACAGAATGTTATCTACTAGGAATTGATCATCAAAAATGATCATGATTGTTAATTATCAAGACCCATTTACACAGATGAAAAAAATGAAGGAAGGGTAAAGGAGACAGAATTCTGCCTTAGGTAACATGGCTAAGAACTAGTAGAATCAAGAATTAATCCAGACCTGCCAGACTTGATTCCAGCTTCCCACTGCCAGGCTGCACTGCCCATCCCAATGCCTTTTCAGCATTTCTAGCTACAGAAATCTAGTATTTTGAAAGAAGCTTATTTCCCTCGGAGTGCTTCATACTGTATCCTCAAGTTGCATTTATGCAAGTAACATTTAGGATTTGCGAAATGCATCTAATTTAATCTTCACAACCTCCCCCCTCCAAGTATCTTCTTAGCCATTTTATAGACAAGGAAATTAAAGTTTTGAGAGACTGAATGAAATGTGTAAGGTAAGAACCAGAACCCAGCCCTTAGGCCTCTGGACCTACAATTTCTACTAAAACCCTCTTCAAATACTGAGTTCATATCTCATCCTGATAGTGGCTATCCATTTATTCTGGTCTACAACACAGCTGCAATAATGTAACATTAGTATAATTAGGGCAAGGTTTCTTTCTTTTTTTTTTTTTTTTTTAACAAAAAAAAACATTTGTTAAAGTAGATAGCAGGTAATGTTTTCTGTTTTGAGTTAGTATTTATTTGTAAGGCAGAACATATTTTTTCCATATTGAAAATGCAGTAATTTTCCTCTAGAGACTAAAATCTCATTTTTAAAGAAAAGCCCATATGGGAGCTCTAAAGTTATTTTTCTGTGTGTAATAACTCAGACATGAACACATGAGATCCTTGCAGCTGTGGTCTACCTTAGAAAGGATGGCACATATTAGCTTAACTTAGGGGCACCTTACTACTTCTGAAGGAGAAACTGCTTAGAAAAGATGTTTTCCTACTCAATAGCAAAAATCCAAGAGGACTTGCTGTGATGTACAGTCTAGTTCTTAGTCTCTAAGTAACTATAAGTAAGTAAATAATTCAGGTTATTTCATTTCAAGTTTTACTAAAACACTTATTTCTCTTATTTCTGGACAGTTTATAGTTATTTATTTATTTATTTTTATTTCGCTGCCACAACTGGAACTTGAACTCAGGGCCTGGGAGCTCCCTAACCGTTTTGATCAAAGCTGGCACAATACCACTTGAGCCAAAGTTCCACTTTCACAGTTTTGGTGGTTAATTGAATGTAAGAGTCCCATGGACTTTTCTGCATAGGCTGCCTTTGAATCTTGATCCTCAGATCTCAGCCTTTTCAGTCACTAGGATTACAGGCATAAACCATGAACATTCAGCTATCTTTTTTTTTTTACTATTACCTGTGGTTGTTGTTATACTGTCATCTATTAATTGGACTAGATTAAGCAAGAATCAAAATTAAATTATAAAGTAAAATTATAATAGGAAGAAAGAAAGAAAAGTTTTTCTGATAAGTATGAGGTAGCTTCATGAATGATTTCAGTTATGAACATTAAAGTATTTTTAACGTTGTCTAAGTTTCAAAAAGGTTTCCAGAGTAATTTCTAAAACTCTTTATTCTAAAAGAATGCTCCTTTTCAAAAGTTTAGTTTTTTTATTCATTCTTTCTAATTAATTTTTCTTCATTAATCATGATGAATGAAGAACTGATTTTTCCAAATTCAAACGAACCCATTATTTTTTCCCCTCAATGCTTCAAAGTTCCAAATAGTATTTGATCATCTTTCTGTTTATTTTTGCAGAAATCTGCTTTCCTTGGAAACTTCTGGGTTAAAGAAACATATAATGCTAATCTGAAGGATTTTATGCCACAGTAAAACCAGAAAAGCTACCTACACAGAGAGGCTTATTGTAGCAAGGCAGAGACAGGCAGAGTATTGTGATAGAAGGAGGGCAGGGCTGTCTAGTTACTGTTAAGAAATTCTTCATCTGTGAGATACCTGGTGCTGTCAACTCTAAAAAGAGATAGGATGATACTTTTAAGAACACAAATTATTCTGTTGCATCATATGTCCACATATTATAGAAAAATTCTAAGTACTTTAAAAACTGTATAGATTTTCTATGACAAAGCTTTCTCTACCTTCATAAACCCAGTCAGTTATTCCATTAAATATCATATCTTCTTTCCCATTCTGTGTAATCCTCTGACTTGGTAAGTTTGGTTCAGTTTTAACATAAATATCATTCTTCCAAACATATGCCTGCAAAGATTGGAAAAATGTTCAGATCAATAATAACATACTATAGGATACTTTTGGTCTGAATACACTGTAGAATCATATTATCACTACACAGTAAGTTTGAGCAAGAAGAGTAAATCTTCCCTGACATTCTTAAAGGATAAAGACTCAAGTGATAGTTCTAAATAATGCAGAAAATAGCCTTAACATTTTAAAATTACCTTATACCTACAACTACTGGATGCTAAAGTGTATTGCAGACCTCGTATACTGACTACTTGTACTGGATGGTATGTACTTGTGAATTTCTGTTTGGGGGAATAAGTAGGAGCAATGCAGTTGCATGTTTGAAGAGGGAAATTAATTACAGGTAAGCATTCCATTTTCTATTCAAATTTCTTTGAGCGCTGACATTCTCCTAGCCCAATGGAACATGAAGACATGTGTACAGTGACTCCAAATATCACTAAACTAGTAGAAATCAAGAATGCTTCAAAAGTATCTAAGCTCAGTAGAAAACAAGAATTTAAATTTCTCAGTGAATAAATAATTCCCTACTACATGTTTAGAAGCTTTCAGGAATTGCGCTTCCTATGTTAGTTTAGTAAGGTATTGTCCTGAACAATAACAGGACATTTTACAATGAATTAATTGGATTTTTAAGATGTCTGCATTCTACCAAAATTAATGCCTTTTGCCTATGAAAGATTTGAGCCAGTTTTTTTTTTCTGACAACCAAAGAGATTCACTAACCAATTTATGACCTTCTGAAGACCACGTGATCCACTGTGTATTATTTGGAATTCTTTCCTCTGTAATCAGCTGCCTGGAAAAAGGATAAAAGGAAGCATTACCAAAATGAATAACTCACAGTGGGATTTCCTGTAAAAATTATATTAGCAAAGCCTAATGAGGTTTGATGGGGAATTCACTGACCTTTTATTTAAGTCATAAATATCATATGAAGCTGTGTAGGAATGCCTCCATTGCTGTAAGAGAAAACAGATATTTCAGGCTTCTATGGTTCTTGACAGCTTGGCCACTTTCTCAAGATGACAGGTGTCATAATCTCAAACTTAATTGTGCAGTATAACTCCATACTTAGAATTTTAGAATTCTGAAACCTGCAGAGCATTTGGAACAAACTCCTCAGGACTTCACTTATAGACTTGCTCTGATACCACCTCCTCCAAGAAGTTTTCTCAGGACTATAGAAGACAAAGTGCCATTTTTTTTTTAATGCAACAATATCCATAACAATTGGCATAGTAAGTTAAGACTTCCTATCTAAGAAAGTACATTTTCACTTTATATCTATCTCACCTATACAATTTTTCAAAGATATATGACTATTGATGATGCTGATATTGAAAGATGTTTAGTTTTGTACATTGGTAAGGAAAATGTCTGGTATTTTAGATTTTTTTTAAGTTACCTGGAAATATATATTAAAACACATGTGTCAATTTTTAAACAACCCTCTGCAGAGAACTAAAATTAAAGTCAAACTAAATAAAAATAAAAGGGGGAAAAGGAATAGTAAAGTTTAAAGTGGTAATCAAATAGAAAACATACACATCCACAAAATATCCAACCAAGTAAAAAAACTGGTTCTATAGGGAGACTAGAAAAATGCAAACATAAGAAAAGTGATAGGAGCTGGGAAGTTGGCTCAGTGGTAGAGTGCTTGCCTTGCATGCATGAGGCCCTGGGTTCGATTCCTGGTCACCACATAAGCAGAAAAAGTCAGAAGTGAAGTTGTGGCTCAAGTTGTAGAGCGTTAGCCTTGAGTTGAAGAGCTGAGGGACAGTGCCGAGGCCGAGTTGAGCTCCCATGACCGACCAAAAAAAAAAAGAAAAATGATAGGAAATATAGACCAATATCACAAAACGAAAATGGAAAAGAAAAATGTAGAGTCATGACAGACTCTACAATTATTAAGTGTCTAAGAGACCATTATGAACATTTCTACTGATGAATTGTAAGTTGTAGAAAAAAATGGAAATATGTCTTTACAAACAACTTATTTAAAGCAAAGTCTAAATAGTCTTCATCTAATCAACATATTGAATCCTTAACTTAAAAAAAAAAACACCTTTTCATAAAGAACATTTCATGGGGAAATAAGTAAATGTATCGTATATTCAACTAAGTTGCAAAGGTAAGCTCACCCATAAATCTGCACACTAATCTTTACAGCACCTTCCTTCCTAATTACTAAAATTTGGAAGTAACAAAAGCTAGACTTCCATAGTAGGTGAATGGGAATCCAGGAGCTGGTGGCTCATACTTTTTGGGGGGGGGGGGGGGTCCGGTTCTGAGCCACTAAACAACCACTGCCAAACACTACAACTTGCTGCTTTTATCTGAACAAGCCTAAACCATGCTTGTTTAACTACAACCATACCAATAGCATCAATAATGGGAGGTATTCATATCTAGAACTCAGGTTTATTTTTTTTTGGGGGGGGGTCCGGTTGTGGGGCTTGAACTCTGGGCCTGGGCGCTGTCCCTCAGCTCTTCAGCTCAAGGCTAGTGCTCTACCACTTGAGCCACAGAGCCACTTCTGGCTTTTTTTTTTTTTCTGCTTATGTGGTGCTAAGGAATGGAAGCCAGGGCCTCATGCATGCAAGACAAGTGCTCTACCACTGAGCCACCTTCCCAGGCCCCTCATACTTTTTTTTAATACTAGTTACACAAGAGGCTGAGACTTGAAAATCACAATTCTAAGCCAGCCAAAGCAGAAAAATGCCACCAAACTCTTATCACTCAACTCTAAGCAGCAAAAAGCCAGAGAGAAAAGTGTGGATCAAATGGCAAAGTGCCAGCTTTCAGTGGACAAGAATGCAAGGCTTTGAATTGAAGCCCCAGTACCAACACACACACACACACACACACACACACACACACACACACACACACACACACACACACACACACAGATGAATGGATAAGCACACTATATTAGATCCATACAATACTATTTAGTAATACAAAGAAAAGAGCTCTCAAGCCACAAATATTAGAAGTCATCTGTACATATTGCTAAGTGAAACAAGCCAGTCTGAAAGGTTATATACTGTATTAACCATATTATTTTCTGAGAAAGACAAAACTGTGGAGATAGTAAAAAGATCAATGGTTGCTTTTCAGAAGGGAAAGGGCAAATAGATAGAGAATATAAGGCAGTATAATAATGGATTCATGCCATACACTAAAGTCAATACTTGCATTAGTAACAATATGTCAATTTGTTACAGTTGAAACAAACGTGGCAAACTCTGAGCAAGATAGTGGTAAGGAAAATAGATGGGAGAGAGATGAAGGTTGCAGGAACTTTTATTTTCTGTAAAACCCAAAAGGTGCCCTAAAATATAAAATCTACTAAGATTTTTTTTAAATGAGTTGGAGCCATGACTTGAATGGAGTTTTGTATGATATTAAGAAATGCATGTTACAAAAAAGTGTAAATATAGGACTCTACTTTTATAGAACATGCAATAACTTAAAAGACTCACTATATACTTCAACATAATATTTTCAGTTGCATTACATGAGTAAGAGAAAAACACAAAATATAGGGGAGGCATACACTACACTTCAGGGATCCAAGAGGAGAAAAGATTGAAGATACAATGTACATAGATATTATATAATCTTTGCATTTGTGAAAAATTACATGCACATGTAGATCCAGATAAAGATGAAAGCTATTTTAATATAAATTTTTGTACATTTGTGTTCCCTGACATACTCTTACCAGTAGAATACTATCTAATTTATCATTAGATACCTAGAATCCAGTGGTACAAAACACATAGCAGGTATTTAAGAAACAAGTAAATGAAAACCAAAACTGCACTTATATGTATACAAATGAGAGGTGAAATGGGTAACTCAAGGACCCCCAGCTACATGATAGCAGAGCTGAGATAAGGATTTAGAGTTCCTAACTTCACTAAATCATTTTTCACTCCAGGACACCTTCCTGTCAACAGCATTTATTAAATTCCCACTTCTTCTAAGACATACATTCCTTTCTTGCATCATGCATTTTTCCGACACACCCTATACTTGCTTCTGGGCAACCTCAAGCAGAATACTTGTTAAAGCCAAAAGGTATGGTACAGGCTGGAATACTAGGGCTGAGCTCATTCAGGATGACAACACGACTGTGAATTGCAACAGGAAACCCAAGATATTTGCTAAGTTCACTTCCTCTTTTGAAACAGACTTATTTGTCTATTTTGTCTATAAATGCTGGTAGCATTGCTTCCCTTAAGTCGCCTAATTGCATAGGCAAGAAAACTACAATGACAGAATCTCAATAGCACATGTCAAAGGGTACTACAGAGGTGAGCAAGGACAAGTAGAAACCACAAATTCACCTTAGAAGGGAGCTTGTGCAAAATGTGATCCTTGGGATGAGTTTTCTAATAGAGAGAGGTCTCACAGAGACTCGGTTAAATTGTGGCAGAGAGAGAGAGAGAGAGAGAGAGAGAGAGAGAGAGAGAGAGAGAGAGAGAGAGAGAGCAATCCAAACATAAGAAAGATCTTGTTTAAGAGCATGAATTCAAACTATTCTAACCTGGATTGAAGTCTCCACTGTTTAGCACCAGGAAAGGTTTTTTCTAAACTTCAACTTTCTTTTTAGGAAAGCAATGATAATTACTTTTGAAATCTCAGTTACATGAAAATGCATGAGAAGTACTTAGTAATGTTCTAGAGCATTAACAACATGTGATCAGTGATACGATTTATTATTATTTCCAGAGAATTAGGCAATGAGCAGAGATATGAGAACACCCATTCCAGGCTAGAAGATACTCATTTTCTGTTAGAAATTGTTAGCAATAACAATGGATCATTCTTGATGCACTCAGTCATGATAGTGCCATGAAATGAGATTCTAAAGAAAATTGAACAGTGTATTGCCAAGGAAACACAATAAAAATCAGTCTTTTCTTTCTTCTTGATATACTTACTGAGCAATTCAATGTTTGGTAAACACTGAATTATATTCATTTAATAAGTATTCAATGAGTACCATGAGGTTTAGTGCTGCAGTGACGGAAACACGGGGCCAGTGGCCCTAAAAACAGCAGATAAAGTAAGAAATAAGCAAAGAATCATAATAAACTACCCTAAATTGCTTTGTACTAATGGACCTAGGCTAATGTCATTTATGAGGTACAGGTGCTCCAGAATGGAAGGAGACAATATTGGATAAAGTGACCAAAGACATTCAGCTCCAAATTAATAGAGTGTAAGCTAGAGGAAAGGAGAAGAGGACCCCAGAAGGAAGCAATAGCAATAGATGGGAATGAGTCATGTTTGAACTGTGCTCCTGAAGCTCTCTTTCCACTTGGATCATGACTCTTATGAAGGACCTTAAATCTCCACTTTTCTGGGCTCCACCTACAACAATGTAGAAGTAGATACGTTGGGTAGGAGCAGGGGCATCTGTGCTTCTCAAAATCTCCCCAGGTGATTCTAAGGTGAAACCAGGAAGAGAAGCCCTGGCCAAATAAGCAGCCTGAAGTCAAGGCCCACAGGCCACACAGATGCCTTTCTTTATGCTGGGATTTTATTTGGAGCATGATAAGATATCGTGGAGAGTTTAGAAACTTGTGTAACATAATGTAATTCAATTTTAAAAGAAGAACTTTGGATTCTGGTTAGGGTATAGATGCTAGGGGAAAAGAAGAATAGAGTGAAAACAGTTACATATACAGATTAGGCACCAGTGACATGAATAAAAATCACAAAGAATGGTTGTCTAAACTAAGATCTACCAGTGAACTATATCCAGGAGTCAACCTAGACTGAACAGCCAGAGGAGCTGTTGTTTATTCCTTTACTGCCTCTCCCTTACCAGTACATCACAGTGTTTAACAGGGACAAGCATTTAGTCATGCTTCTCAGTCCTGGCTGTTCATTAAAATGATCCAAAGCAGTAAAAATATGTAATATCAGCATTACCACCAGAGACTTCATTTTATTGAAGATTGAGAGTGGATGCTGGGATTTTTTTTTAAGGATGCTCAAGTGAATCTGTTTTGTGCAGAAGTACAATAAGCTCCTAGTTTTCCAATTGATTATATTAATTAATAATAGATCAAGTTGTCATAGGAGACGGCTTTTCTTATAGTTGATAGATTTAGCAGAACCTGGTCTGAATCTTCCCGTGCAGGAAATGGAGCCCTGCAGAGTGAATCCAGAGTAAATATTATGACTGAGAGTTACCATCCTGAGACAGTCAGAGGAGGAGGGAATGCTTTACTTGGCCTGAGTACAGCAGTTTTGGTATGTGAGATAAGGCCATTCAAGTCATTATTCCTAGAAAAACAGACAGGGTTAGGAATCCCTACTTTGTATTTTGTTTTCAATGCAGGGTATGTCTCTCTGCATTCCTTCGAACTTCCTACATTTGATAACTGTTACTGATTGTATGAAAAAAAACAAGAAGCTGCAATTAAAATTACCAGTGAGTTGCACCCATCCTAAATATGAAAAGGCTCAATAGCAAACTTCCTGAACATGTGGGAATTCCGTGTTGGGTGACTGGAGGAGGCTGGGAACTCTGGATTGGACCTCTACTATGAGAATGGAGGCTGTCCTCCTTCAAATGGCATATATACAGCAGGAGCTGAAGATCAGTATGGGGTGTGGGGTATCTTACAGAGTCTCTTCTGGAGGACAGGAGCTTTAGCTGTTTCTTCTTATAGTACTAGGATTTGAATTCAAGGCCTCCTACTTGCTAAACAGGCATTCTACCACTTAAATCATAGTCCCTACACTATTTTTCCTTTATTTATTTTTTCAGATAGGGACTTGTGCTCTTTACTAGAATCAGACTAGATTGTGACTCCTCTGCCTGGTTTTCTTGTGTAGTTGGAAAATTACAGATATGTCACCACTATGGATAGATTTTCTTAAGATAATTTTTCACTAAATTGTTGCTTAAACTTGTTCTTTATTTCTTTTTCTTTTTTTCTTTTTTTATTGTGAAAATACTGTACAGAGGGGTTACAATTACATGGGCAGGATAATGAGTACATTTCTTTTTTTATTTTTATTTTTTGTGAACATACTGTACAGAGGGGTTACTCCTGGTATCTATCTCCTGAGTTGCTGGAAATATAGAGATGAGCCAATGTGCCTGACTGATCTTTACCTCTTTTAAAGCAAACACTGAAGGTTTAATTATATATAAGCTAAGTGGAAAGGAAATAAAGGATTATATTGCCAGATGTACAGTCAGGTATGTACACTTAGAATAATACAATAAATATCTGTTGCAAACTTTTATTGTTAGGTTATCCATAGCTATAACACAATATTAAATGGGTTTTTAATATTTGAAGCGCAAAGTAATTTTTAAACATTTGTGCTTTACAAATAAGTATATATTTTTCATGCTGAATTAGTGACTTTTTGTGCCAATATTAACTTAGACACCCATATTAAATGCACATTCAGTTTAAATCAGTTATAAAATGAAATGCATATAACTCCTTTAATGTTATAGTAAGAAAGTATTTCTTTTACCTTCACATAGTTGTATTCCAAGAGAATGAACAGTCTATCAGGAGATACTGAATAATCACTTATAGTGTAGCCAAGGTCATCCTGTCAATCAAATAGAAGAAAAAGAAGTTGAGCAGTATAACTGCCATCAGTCAGCACCTGCTACCTGTTCTATGTCTACATAGCTTTGCCTTGGGAGCACCCAGTTTAGGAGAGGAGGCACAGACACCTATACAAGTGACCATGATATTTGAAGGTTAGTGGTTGGTCTTTGTCAGCTGGGAAGGGAAAGCTGGGGTCAGAACAGAGAAAGAGCTGTCTCCACAGGAGAAGTAGAATGAGCAAAAGCTCAGCTGCATGTGGCAAAGGGCATGCAGTGTAGAGAGTTGTATATAACCTGTACACAGTTTGGGGTGCAGGAACAAGGTGACAAATGGGAGGATGTCAAATCAGTGGATTGCTGGGACTCAACCAGAAAATGTAGAGATTTGTCCTGTCTTTCCTATGTGGAAGTGAGAGTATCATGTTTATGTTTTACAAAGGCAGTCTCTGGTGACATGGTGGCTGGGATGAGAAGAGAGTGAAGGGGGCCGTATCAGCCTGGACTTGGACAGGCCCTTGGTCTGTTCTTTAACACATAGATAAAGACACAGGCTAGACTCTCACTCTGATGAGACTCAATAAGGATTTGAACCAGTCCACCCAATGGAAGTGGAAACCTGTGAAATTCTTAGTATCTATGGGGTGACATGGTTTGTTGAGTAGCTAGTGATAGCAGCAACAGGAAAGCCAAAGATGATTCTTAAGTCTCTAGTTTGAGTGACTGAAAAAAAAAGTGAATACTAACACTGGGAATATGATCATTTGAGCTTGTGGATAGTGAAGGGGAGTTGAGCTTGAGATAGTAACTGAAGGTAATCTATGTGCAGGAGACAGCATCCTGTTGGAAAGTGAAGTCTGCATCTTAGGAGAAAGTGAGTGCTAAATGCACAAATGAGGATCAAGAGCAGAAAGGGGAGCACTGGAGCGGTGAACGTATGACATTCACATGCACATAGCATGGAGAGGCCCAACCTGGAAAACACTTACATTCAAACAAGTACAGGCAGAGGAGGAGTCACCAAAGAAGAGTAAGAGGTAGCCAAGGCAGGGAGCATTTCAGAGAGAAAAAGGTCCACTGTGCCGTGTGCTGCAGAGGGTCCAACAGGATGAGCAATGATAGTAGTCATGAATTTGAAAAGTAATGAATAAAATCCCCCGAGTTTCATGCATCAGTTAATTATGTGAGGAAACATACAAATGTACTGTTCGCCAAAAAAATGGAGCTGTTTCCAGATTCAGCATTGAATAGCAAGATATTATTTTCTTGTTTGTAGAGGTATTCATGATCTAAAGAGAGAAAATGACCAAATCAGTATTTCTAATTAATATTAAACACTGTCATAAGCTAAAGGTTATGTAATAAAATCAAACTGCAAGCACATAGAAGGATGAAGTAAGCATTTCTAGGTTGGGAAATCATAAATGATGAATATTACACAAGCATTCATTCATTCTGCCATTTGTGATAAGGTTTCAATTTACATTTAACTTTTGATAGTGAATATCAAAGACATATTTTATAGCTTTTCATTTTTTTGATTTTTTTCCCTTTCCACCTCTAAATAGAAGGTAAATACTCTTTACAGTTTTGTTTTTTAAAGCAAGACTTATGTCTTCTAAATGCTACAAAACACCTTGCAAATCAACCTAACAAGAATTAACATAAATATTAAAAAATCATCCTGGGCACTGGTAGCTTTGGCCTATAATCCTAGCTGTTCAGGAGTCTAAAAACTGAGGATCATGATTTAAAACCTAGGAAAGTCTGTGAGACTCTAATCTGTAATTAACCACTAAAAACCTGGAACTGGAGCAGTGGCTCAAGTAGTAAAGTACCAGTCTTGAGCAAAAATTCTTAAGAGCAACTCCCCTGCCCTAAGTTCAAACTGCAGTACTAGCACAAAAATAAAACATTTGCAACACCCACTCCTGAGCACAATAACTTACCTGAAATCCACCGCAAAGAATAGGACTTCACTCGTAGAGTATTTTTTAAGTAGTCAGACAGAGAGTAAGTTCTGCGGCTGTCAGCTGCAGCATCATCTGCTGGTTGAAAAATAAAAAGAGGCAAATGTTCAGAAAGATGGAATAATGTCAGTTTGAGATAAAATAAGCAAAATGGCTCTCTACAATTCACCCTGATCACAAAATGTAGGAATGCCTTTGTCAAATGCAATCTACATTTTGAAAAAAACTTTGGACCAGATAGATGTATTGAAACTGTATTTAACTACAAAGTCTGATGTGCCAGGGAATATACTGAATATCTTTCATAACCTTCTCTGTGAACATTGAGGTGGGCCAAGTCAATAGAAGTGCAATGTAAATTCATTTGTTTTTGTTGCCATGTTGTGGGGGGGGGGAAGGGGGAAGCAAAAGTAATTATAATGGCATATTTCATTTATTCCAATATACACAAAATATGACCACTGCAACATAAAGTTGATATTTAGATGTTATTACTGAGATCTTTCATAATCTATTTCTCATACTGATTCTGAAATATAGTAGGTAGTTTGCACATACAGACTAGGCATATTTCGTATCAGTCATTACTTGTGTTCAGTTATGATCATGGTCTGCTCAGGGCTGGATCATCCTTGTTTGAGTCCTTGAGAGTCCATTGCACTTTTGTTCCTCAGAGGCATTTCAGATATGCTGATCCCACACTGGTGAGGTGGGGCTTTGCCTCAGCACTAATTTTATTTCAGTGCCTAGAATCTGTGTAGTTCTGTCTTTTGCTTACCTGAAACCCATTCAAAGTCCGAAGTCATTTTGTTTTTAACTATCTCTTGCCTCTTTTTATTTTTCCCCAATACTTCTTTGTAATTGACCCTCCTAGCCTTGGTACCACCACTGGGATAATTTTTCTACAATGCCACTTTATTCTGGTGGTCCCTCCCTCATAAGCTCTACACAAAACCAACAAACCAATTAAAAAAAAAACAGTAACACAGTTTGATGATATGGTACTAAAAAGTTTTGTTGCTAGATTTACAATTTTATCTTCTAAGCATAATCAAACCAGTGTGATTCCTTCTTCCCAACCCCAAAGTCTGTCCATTAATGACAAAGAGCTTAACATCCTTGCCCAAATTCTGTATTTTACACATACTTGTGTGTTCACAACACCCACCCACAAGGTCAGCTCCTTCAGGAATCCCTTAACTACTTTTTTCTAGCACATCCTTTTAATTAATTTTATTTGTGATGCATCACTGAGGCTTAAACTCAGGGCTTATTAGACAGGTGCTCTACCACAGCCATAAGCTCAACTCTCATATTAACTTTCCACAATCTGTGAGAAGACAATTCTTTTACAGGAAAAACTTTTCCAAAAAAATGTTCCTAAGGTCTTATTCCTTTGTACCTTTATATCTGATATATCTTTGTACCTTTATATCTTGCATCTGCCTATTAAACCTCCTAATTCAATAGATAAATTTGTTACATTTGCCTTTGCTACTTATTGACGTTGTTTAAAGCTGGTTTGTTAAGAAGATTGAAGACTTTTTTTTTTAATCTATTTGTTTTTCAATTTAATTTTCACCCTGAAAGTAAGACATTCATGTTTGTTTGTAGAAAGATAACAAGTGGATAAAATAAGCCCATGGACTAGCCAATCTTTAAGCAAAAATCTGTATTTTCTGTAGGCTTGTGCAATATTATTTGAAGGTCATATAGAGGACAGTAGCCACATACCTGTATGTGTGCCCTCAATTATTTGTGTTCATTCATCCATTCATTCATGTATTAAATCATCATTAAACAATGTTATTTGGTAAATACTACTAAGGATATAAGGAGACTTTGTTCTCAAGAACTATTTTTCTAAAGTGAACATAATATGTATCCCAAATAAATTGAAATATAAATGATGATAGACATTCACATGCCCAGTATATGTAATATAGCTATCTGGATCTATAAAAAAAGAGCTAGAACATGTATGTGTATGCATGCATTGAAAATGTATAACAAAACAGATATGTCAACTCAGAACATCTGTCACTGGCTCTTAATTTTTTAAAGGAATTAACTGACCACCTATAATAGTCATACACAGCAACAACTGATTAAATCATTTAAGTGCTATCTTATAAAAATATATTTTCCAACATGTTTTCAGGGCAACATACACCTGGAGTGTTAAATTGAGTCAAAATTTTCTTCATATAACCTGATACCCAATGAACTAGGTGCCCAATGAACTAGGTTACTTTTTCATTCATTGATGCCTTTCTCACTGAGACTTAACCTGATCTGCCCTTCTCAGACATTTGCTGGTTCATTGTTTCTTCATCCTCTGGCTTTTCTAAATATATCATCTCTACATTCAGGCTCCCTTCCACACATACTTCCGCTTACAGATCTACTTGCTGATGCCCTGGCAACCAAGATGGATGGCTTGTGAGCTATGGCCCAAGATATCTCTGAAAGACCCATACTGATCTTGGCTTATGGGCCAATGTTCAGCTGCTTTACCCTAACTCTGTATCCCGGTTTCTACATATTGTCTACCTAGTCCCAGAGCAGCCTGGCTAAATTGGAGCAACAAATGTTCCCTGGTGGTTTTTGTTTTTTTTTTTTTGCCTTGCCTTGCCTTGCCATTTGATAAGCAGGGCACATTGGAAGAACAGTTTGGAAACATCTAGATAAGCGAGTTCTGTGAGATGTGAGTGCCAAGTCCAGGTTTTGACCTTTAGCAAATTCATAGTTTGCTGCCAAGTTACAACCTATTCTGTCACACTCATGTAGGACATGCTCATATTGCTCCTTCCTTGTCTCCTTGCTCCCTGACAGGGCACTGCTGCAGCAACAGATGAAGGTCCTTGGCTGCTTGTGTGGTTTTCCTGGTGGGGCCTGGGACATGTCGTTCGTTTGACTTTATCGGTTCAAAGCATTGTGCTCGCCAAGGAAAGTGGTTAATCATATGTTACCCATCAACTCATACAGAAACTCTTCCATTCAGATGTTCTTTAATTTAGAAATTTTTAAAAGGTTAGCTGCATTTTATATTTCTTCTTTAGCCACAGCATCTCCTAGGTTAAACCATATGATAGTACATTTTCTTGTCATAATAGGTAGGACAGTAGAATGTTGAATGGATCAACATAATAACAAATTCTCTTCAAAGGGTTAAAGTATCCTAAGAAATCCTTGCATCCACATCAAAGAAAGTAATCCCAGAATATAAGATCCAAACAAGAAAGGAATATAATTCTATGGAATAGTCTTGCTATTGTTGCTGTTTGACTACAGTATATTTTCAATATTTTTATGTCTATGGATCATAAACATTTTTTTCTTCTTTAAGCTATAGTTTATAATGTTCCTACTTCAAAAAGATAAGCTTTTGGTACACAAACAGTTAATGAAATACATCTACAATGAAATATACTCATTCTAATCCTCAGTTACATCTTCTTGTTAAAGACACAAAAGAGATACGTGATTTCAGTTTCTGTGCTCAATATGGTGATTAGTTAACATTCCATATTGATGTTTTTGTATTGGTGATGGGTATAAGGAAATAAATTGGTGTTACATAACAATTTGCTCTAGAAAAATAGCAGCCTTGACATGGGGAACAAAGGAAAAACAATATAGCAGAAGCAGACATTGATTGAAAGGTTTTCAGACACTGTGGATAGATCACCCAGCACACATGCAGGCTACAACCCATCTGCATCGATTAAAATAAGAACGCTATGAGAGTTGAATAGATGGTGGCTTGGAAATCAGAAAGCCTAGATTTGAGAGCCGGCCTATTTATTTCCTTGGGAAAAATTACTCAACCAGCCCTTACTACAGTTTCCATGATAGTGATTCCTTCAAAATTCATATTGAAACTTAATTCCCTTGGTGAGATTTTAAGAAGAATGGATTTGGGGGGGAGGGGGATGTGATTGAAGAAATAAAGGTTCCACCCTCATGAATAAGTTAGTGCCTTGTAAGAATGCTGACAGAAAGTAAGTTAGATCTTTTCCCTCTCTCTGCCTACTACCATGAAAGAGTGCTGAATGAGACCGTCATCAGATGTTGAAACTGCCAGCACCTTGATCTTCAACTTACCAGACTATAGAACTATGAGAAATAGTTTTTTACTCTTTATAATAACGAAACCTTGGGTATTTTGTAACAGTATAACAAAAAGACTAAGACAGAAACTGGTATCAGAGAAGCAGAGTGTTGCTAAGCATGTTTGAAACTGGGTAATGAATGGGTAGTGGCTGGAATAGATGAAGCATTAAGGGTAACTTTAGTGAGGGCTCAGAAGACTACCACTGGTGGCCACACTTGTAATCCTAGCTACCCAAGAGGCTGAGACCTGAGGATTGTGGTTCAAAGCCAACCTGGGCAGGAAAGTTCTTGAGATTCTCATCTCCAAGTAATCATAAAAAAGTCATTAATGGAGCTGGGGTTCAAGTGGTTAGAGTACCAGTCTTGAAGGGAAAGAGCTAAGAGAAAGCACCCAGGCCCCGAGTTCAAGTCCCAGTACCAGCACACACACACATACACACAGAGTATAATGGACAGAAGCAGCTTCTGTCTTCTTAGAAATGTTTGTAAGTTAACATGATCAGAAAAATGGAAGAAATATGGAGAATAAAGGTCAATCTGATGAGGGCTTAGAAATGAGGATAAGATTTTGGAAATGGAGGAAAGGCCACCTTTAGAGGAAAAGAACTTGCATGAATTGTGTCTATGCCATAGGGCTTTGTAGAAAGCAAGATTTGTGAATCATGAATCATAATATTAGGTTAAAGAAATCTCTAAGCATGGTCCAGGGTGGTCTATCACTTCTCTTAGCTGCTGTAGTAAAAGGGAGGCAGACTTACACTTTGGGAAAGATGACAGTTAAGTTTCATTAGAAAGATGACAAAAGAATAATTGGATAAAATACCAAAGATGTGGCCAAGAAATTGTTTGATAAGGAGATTCATATACAGTATGAAGCCATATACTATTCTTCCTATTCTATTGATTACCAATAAAAGTTTATTTTGTTTTTGGTTCTGGAGGTTGAGAAGTTCAAGATCAAT